ATTTTTTTTCCCCAATCGAAATCAATATTCTGACGATTGATTTTTTTTTGTACGATTAATAACGTGTCAATTAATACTATACGAAGAAAATGATTAACCTAAACGAATAATTATAATCATAAGTAACGAACGTATAAATAAATATTTTTTATATTTCATAATATTGTATTAAAACTATTATCGTGTTATTTTAATATCTTATATATTTTTTTGTATCTTTTCTTTTTTTTTTTTTTTATTTTTTAATCAGACAAGCGGAAACTTTGGAAGACAATTTTAATGTATTGATATTGCAACAATTGATGGGAAGTACGTTTCAACTTTGTATATCCGGTTACAATACGCTTTTGGTATGTATTACAATGTTACATGTTAATGGACGAATGTAACGAATGTCTCTGATGTATAAATTTACTTTTTTTTTTCTTTTTTTATTTTAACAAATTTTCTTTTCAGGACTCAGTAAAGAAGGAAGGATTAACGATTGTAATATTTTATTCTTATGCATTTTGCGTCATGAGTACATTGTTTACTTATTGTTACATCGGCGAGTGTCTTATTCAGGAAGTAATTGAAATTAATTGACGAGATACTGGATGTTTTATTTAATTTGATTGTCAGTAAAATTTGTTCATATTTTATTGAAAATATTTTCATTTTTAATAATTATTCTTCATTCGTAAAATTTGTTATTTATAATTAATTTTAAGAAAAAAGAAACGAAAGAAAAAAAAAAAAGAAAAGGAAAGAATCACTTTTACATACGACGATGTTTATTAATATATCTATGATATTTATATTGAAAATGAATGAAATTTAATTGAAAAAGAAATATATATACATTTGAACCGTTTATTTTGAAAGTGGCCTAACTCCATTTATCTTCAAATCGAGATATTTAAGGGTTTTCATGAATTTAAAAATATACATATAGGATACTAATGAGTTATACTACTTAAGTGTATCTAAGGGTGTTAAATTTATAGTTATTATTAAAATAGTGGCAATTATTAAGTGAATAATATGCGTTTTCTTATCAAGAATGGAGTTAGGTCACTTTCAAAATTAACAATCAGATTCATTATAAAATTTGAAGACTGAGACGCCGTATATATCATTGGAGATCAATTGTTTATAATTTTTTTTTATTTTAATATCAATCCATTTCATATAAATTTATTTATTAAAAATTAAAAAGATTAATTATTTTTCTTTTCTTTTTTTTTTTTGGAATTAATAAAATTTGAATCAAAATATTTGATAAAGATCATTTAGATTCATTTTTATCAAAAGAATAATTTTTCTTTTCTCTCACTTTTTTTTTCCATGAATTTTTAAAATGTATCCTTACGATATACAACTTTCAAAACTATTTATGTTTCTGGCCAAATCAAAGACTTAAAAATAAATTAAATTTGATTTTTATTTATTAAAAAATATTTACAAGTTATTAATATAATTTTTGAAGAATATAATATTAATATAATTGAAGAAAAATAAAAAGAGAAATATAACAAATTGATTGCGATCAAATTCAATAGGACATTTTTTAATATATCAATCCATTGATATTTACTAATCATTGAAATGATTTTGAAAATTTAGAGTTTGAGTCTGAGCACTGCATTTTATCGTTACGAGTGGTATAACGTGTCACCGATCAATTTAAAAATGGTTCAAATTTGCATGTTGCGAATGAAGAAACAACAGCAATTAACTTCCGGTAAATTTTTCATCCTATCATTGGCCTCGTTTACCGACGTAAGTGTTCAAACGAAAAAAAAAACAAAAAAAAAAAAACAAAAACAAAAAGTCTATAATTTATATTTATATTTATATTAAAATATGTCCACTCGTTAATTCGTTTTATAGATTCTCAAAACTACGATGGGATATTTGTCATTACTACGAACACTTATATGAAGATTTTTTTTCATCCTTTTCTTTTTCTTTTTTTTTCTTTTTGATCCACTTATTAACAAAAACACATTTATTTTTTTCATAATAATTAAATATCGTTCCAAGTCAATTGATTATTCTTTTTGTAATAAAAAGTAAATACATATAAAAGTATGAATTTAAATCATTTATTTTAATCATCAAAATCAATTATTTTCTATTTCGTAATTTTATCGAATTTTTCTTTTCTAAATAGTAAAATTTCTTTTCTTTAATATCAATATATATATTAATGCGTAGAAGCAGATAATTAATTTAATTTTCTATATTACGATTACAAAATTATAATCAAAAATTCAATTGTATGTATTAAATTTAATATACATATAACGTAAATATACATACATATATATATATATATATATGTATAAGAACAGTAGTAACAATTATTATACTCACGAGATAAATAGTACGTGCTATTGAACATAGTCAACAAATAGTATCCTTTTTATTGATTTTTCATTGATCAATTGAGGAACATGAGACTGCTGACCTCTTATCGTCGATAATTGATTGTAAACTTGAAGTTGAGTATTACGGTGAGTATAATGCACGTAATTATCGTAGGACAAAGTTCACCATGAAGTTATGACAATTGATAGATATATAGAAGATGATAGGTTATAGACGTTGGAAATGTATGAATATTTTCAAACTTTTTCACATCGATAGTTTTCTTATCAATTAATTCGAATGAATGCCTTTCAATCGTACGCATTTTACAACGTACAATTAATATTAGCCTAATAATCACGATGTAGCAACGATAAGTAGATCGTTATAATGTCTGTTATTACATTCGATACTATCCTTATGACGGTCATCATAGAAATAAAAACTTTGAATATAACCAGGAAACCGGATATAACTTATTAGAAAAAAGGGGTAAACTCGGTGGAAGATCTTTATCGTTGTCACCCTAACACCACAATGGAAAAGTTACTTTACGTGAAACTTTTCTTTCGCTGGGACGACATCAACAACCCCTTGTACGAGTGAAATAAAAACGCAAAAGAAAAGAAAAAAGAAAAAAAATATAGAAAAGAAAGAAAAGAAAAAAGAAAAACAAAACGGAAGAGAAAATGTGCGAATGAGAGTTGTAACAATAAAGTTTTTTTTTTTTTCTTTTCTTCTTTTTTTTTTTTTCTTTTTTTTTTTCTATCGAGATAGTCGCTAAACGTTTTCCGACGTACATCGGCTAAAAAATTCAATAAATATTGAAATCTTAAAATTGTCAATCCCTAGTATCAAAGAGACATAGTTAAACGATCAATTCTCTAATGGATTTTTTTTTTTCCCCCCCCGTCACGGACAAACTTTCTTCAATTTTTTTTTCTCTCTTCTGGCTGATTATATTATTCAAATGTGCATTTCTAACCCCCTTTTTTTTTTCTTTTTTTTCCTTTTTTTTTTTTTCCTTCGAAAAGGAGTTTACAACGGAGCTTGATCGAACGTTTTACTGTCAGTCAATTGTGAACCTTCAGAGGGATAACATGGAGAAAAAAATAGAAGTAAGCATGGATAATATTATTTTATATCCGTATACTTTTACATATGTGTTCTGTATAATTTTGAAATTGCACGTACATATTATGTTTATATATTATTTATGTATTTTTTTGTTTGTTTGTTTGCAGTCAATATTGCTTTTTCTTTTTTTTTTTTTTAGACATACGGTATAATATTATTATTCTATTGGTGATATTGAAAAGAAATTAAGTCAGATACAAGTTTGTGCGTGCGTGCGTGCGTGTGTGTATGTGTGTGTTTAACTGGATTTAATTAAATTATATTTTATTAATAAGTGATCTTATTGATTTAAAAAGTATACTGTGTTAGATTTTCTTACATCGTCATATGTATATAATTTTTTTTTTTTTTTTTTTTTTTTTTCTTTTTTTTATAATGAATAAGTAATTCACGACAATTTCTTTTTTTCTCTTCCTAAGCGCGATTGAATATTATTTTTAAATTGGTGATCTCCCTTATTTCGTTTGTTATTTATTTTTGTTGCAATAAAATTTTTTTTTTTGTTATTAAAATAAGAAAGAAGAAGGGACAGAATAATTATTAACGTTTAGCAATAACTTTTACTTTTGATTTGTTTTTTTTTATTGCTTTTGTGTTACAATATCGTTGGTATTCTTTTTACGAAATAAATTTGTAATTTTTCTGGTACATTAAATTATAATGATCATATATAATTAAGTTCGTTTTTTTTTTCTTTTTTTTTTTTGATAATATTTGTTTTCTTTTTCAAAATTTTTTTATTTTAATTAATTATTTCATATAACTCGATGAAATAAAAATTGTAGCACAAAAGAAAATGTTAAGATGTTAACAATTAAAATGTATTAGTGAATATTAATTGGATGTGATTACAATACTAAATAATCATACTGATTATAAAAAAAAAAAAAAAAAAAAAAAAAAAAAAACTTTTTAATTGTAATCCATAGATAAAGAATCGTTAACCACTAATGTGCAAAATTATTTTTTCTTTTTCAAATTATATATATATATATAAAAAAAAGGGATCAATCGTGAAGTTGATAAAACTTTCATATGTCTATATGTATCTTATATTAATTATATATTTTATATTTATTCATTAAATAGAAAGAGAATGTAATATCATCAATTAATATAAATTTACAATTATATATTATAAATATTAATAAATTTATTTTTTTTTTATTTAATTGTTATTATCAGCTGCTGATTATTTCATATTAACGAAATCATTAAAATAACATTATGTAATTTTTTTTTTTTAGACTATACTTACTAAATAATGTTCTTTATTTCATTTCTAATAATTTATTATATCTCTTTCAAATATTTACTAATTTTTATATATATATATATATATAAATATATTATTCTTACAGACAATTGACGTAACCGAAGCAATGAAGTCAATACTATGGAACAGACTATTATTGAAATGCGTTGGAATTTGGCCCCTCGAAGTTTCTAATGCTTTATTTATCTTTTTTTTTATTTATCTTTTATTACATTGTTCCTTTGCATTAGTCGAAATGACTCATCGTAAATACGATTTCAATTATTTCCTTGCAATATTTAGCGAAGTTTTATTAATTCTAATGACGCTATCGAAAATGACTACGTGCTGGATAAATAGACAAGCATTAGGACGTTTGCTCGTCGAAATACAAAATAATTTCAACGTCGATAAATATAATACATTCGAGAAAAGATTTATTTTCATGAAGTATAGCAAATTGGCGAAATATTATCTGTTGATAGCAGTTACTTCAATGGCTTGCGGCACTGTTTTTTATTACTTGAACGAATTGAGATTAAGCGTGAAAATGGGTAAACGTTCTATCAAATTTATATAAGAGATAATTTTATTAATTGTTATTTTATTCATTTACGTACGTAAAATTTACGTGATTAAAAAATTTTGAAATCTTATTGAATATCTTCCTTTTTTCTTTTTTTTTTTTTTTTTTTTTTTTTTTTTGTAGCAAACGAAAAAAGAACAAAATTTATGTACATTCATGTAATGCAATGTTTCATGTTTTCATGTGGTAAAAAAATATTTAATAATTTAATTAGTCAGAATTTTAATTAATTAAAATTTAATTAATTCTTTTAATGAAATATTTAATATTAAAAGAAATATTTTAATGCGGAATAAAATATCCGAATTTCAATTCAAAACGGAAAATTAATGACCCTTTAGTACTTTTCTTTTTTTTTCTTTTTTGGAATGTCGTATTTTTTTTTAACTTTTTTTTTCTGAATAAAATATATGAAATACATGTATATATCATTATATAAATCGTACATATATTATATGAATTATTTTATTCGTATTTTATATAAATTATATATATATATATTTTTGTTTTATTATATATTATATTTTATTACGTTACAGTGATACCAAATTCATCATTAACTTACAAACCACCGTACAAAACAGAAACCATTGTCGATATATATGACATTAAAATCTATGCTTGTTTCTGCATTTATCAATTGTTCTTATTACCGGCTATTATATTAGGTTACGTTGGATTTGATTGTTTGTTCGCAAATCTCGCATTTCATGTTACCGCACAATTTGGAATTCTTTGTTCCATGCTAAAAGAAATTCTCGACGACTCTGATGATTTTCAACGTAATATGAAGGAACTTGTACTTCGACATTACAAATTGATAAGGTAAAAATAAATTGATATAAGGTAATTTTTTTTTTTAAATATAATAAAAACAACTTTTTCTTTTTTAAATCCAATGCAATAAAAAAAAAAAAAAATTGAAATGTATATCACGTTATAAAGCGACGATCGATCAGCAACGCAGGTTACATATTTTTTTTTTTTTTTTCTTTTTTTTATTAATTCAAAGTCATTTATGAATGAAAAATTTTTCGAACGTGAATTGTTCGATTCAAATGATAAAATGTCGTCGCAATTATCGTATCTTTATTTTTGATAAGTTTACATGGTTATTTTTTAAAAAGACATCTGTGCTATTTTTTTTTTTTCGAACAGAAAACAATACTTTTCTATTTTGTAACGTTCACATATTTCACATGAACAAAGGACAAGTAAATTCTCTTTGAAGTATTATTTTTTGAGATCGAAATAAATTCTCCGACGATTAAAATTTATTAAAAAAAAAAAAAAAAAGAAAAAAGAAAAAAAAATTCGCATTTAATTATCCGACAAAATATATATATATATATATATTGATATAAACAATTAATGTTACGTATTATTTTCTAGAAATGTATCCGATTTTTTCTCGCTATTATTTTAGAATTTGAACAATTCAATCTGTACGAAGAAATGGAAATATCTAATGAAAAAATTGAGATATCTGTAACAAATATTTTTTATATTTGATTTATCATATTACATTAATAATCGTATTATGTAAATGTCATATTACGTATATATATATATATATATATATATATATATATATATGTATGTATGTATATTATTTGCATTTTTTTTAGACAAGCAAAAACTTTGGAAGACAATTTTAATACAATAATATTGCAACAATTAATGGGTACAGCATTTCAACTTTGTGCATCTGGTTACCATACACTTCTGGTAACTATTACATGTATTATGTTAATTAATTAAATGCAACGAATATCTTTGATGTTTATTTTTATTCTTTTCTTTTTTCTTTTTTTTTCTTTTTTTCTTTTTTTTTTTGCTTCCTGATATTTACAATTCAGGGCTCAGTAAGCAGTGAAATATTTACGGTGATTGTATTCAATTTTTATGCTACTAATACATTGAGTACATTGTTTATTTATTGTTACATCGGCGAGTGTCTAATTCAGGAAGTAAGTGAAATTAATGGATCAAAATAAAGGGTGTCATATTTAATTTGTTCGCCTGTAAAATTGTTTCGTTTCTATTGACAATATTTTAATTTCTTAATAAATATTTATACGTAAATTTATTATTACGATTAATTTATTTTTATTTGATTTCATAAAAAAATGGAATAAAATGATCATTGTTACTAACAAACACGTATTTATTAATAAATCTATAATTTTTTATTTCGAAACTTAATGAAGATTAATTAATAAATAAATATTACAATAGATATAATTAAGATCGTTCAATATTTAATTTCGTAATGATAATTAATATTAATTTTTTTGATACATTAATTAATATTATTTATTATATATTCCTAATGTCAGATTTGTTATATTTTTAAATAAATTTATTAATCATTTCTAAAAGATTAAGTATCACGTAAATTAAATTAAGTGATTAAAATTATTTATTAATATATATTAAATTGATATTTTTATATACAGGATGACTGATTTTAACAAAATCACATTTCTCTTCTAAAACGTAAAAAATTTTATTTGAAACATTTGTTTATAGATCCAGTGAAATCGAATATGTATTGTTATATCCTTTAGAATTTGTACACCCAGTATGTAATCGATTCAATTATTTCTAATTTTTTATTTTAACATCGATTTATTTGACGAAAAATTTATTTATTATAAATGAAACAAATCGATTAATTTTTATAAACAATAATTTCTTTTCTTTCCTTTTCTTTTTGAAAATTTTCAAATCCTTTACAATATACAAGAAAAAAATTTTTTTTACGTTAGATACTTGAATCGAACCAAACATAGTTTGTATTTATTAAATCATAATTACGATTTATATGGCAATTATCTTGTAATATTTGAAAATATAAAAATAAATTTATAGCGATCTAATTCGATAAGACACACCGTAATATATGCAATCTCTCGGTATTTATTAATCATTGAAATTTTTTTTCAAAATTTAGAGTTCGAACCTGAGCAATGCATTTTATCGTTACGAGTGGTATAACGTCTCGGCTACGAACTTAAAAATGATAACAATTTGTATGTTGCGAATGATGATACCGGAGCAATTAACATCCGGTAAATTTTTCGTCCTATCATTGGCCTCCTTTACCGACGTAAGTGATTAGAAAAAAAAAAAGAAAAAAAAAACCAGTTCCTCTATTTCTATTTAACGCTAAAATATGTCACTCGTTAAACTGTTTCTTTTTTTTTTTTTTTTTTAGATTCTCAAAACTACAATGGGATATCTGTCTCTACTGCGAACTGTTCTTTGAAGAGCTTTTTTTTTTCTAATAATTAAATGTCATTCGAATTCGCTTGATAGATTATTTAATTAAAAAAAAAAAAAAAAAAAAAGAAAGAAAAAAAAGAAAAAGAAAAAATTCTGTTCCATATTTTTTCATTTCATTAATTTGACATAATTTTTTTCATTTAATTTTAACATAAATTAATTAGCATCGTTTAATTATAATAAATTCTTTGAATTTCACGTCTGCCACGAAATCTAAGCAAAAAATCTTTTTGTATATATTATATTAAACATACATATATAGTAATATATATATAGTTCATATAAATAAACGAATGTATTTTTTATTACATTATGTAATATTAATGTAATAATATATAATAACAATAATAAAAATTATTCAACTCACCTGGTATAACGATAAATAATTTGTATATATCGATTGAACATACCGACGAATAGTATTGATTATCCTTATACTGATTTTTTTTTTTCTTTCCCTTTAATTCGAATAAAAAGAACGTCGTCCTTATATTGTCGATAAATTGATTAGAAACTTGAAGTATTACGTAGAGTATGGATGCACTTAGTTATCGTAGGACAAACTTCACCATAAAGTTATGGGAATTGATTGATATATAGAAGTATAGACACGTATACGGAGGTAAGTAATGAATGAATATTTTCAAACTTATTCACATTGAAATTTTTCTTATGAATTAATTCGAACGAATGGATTTCCATCGTTAAACATTTTACGAACGTATAATTAAAACTTGTACAATGATAATAATGAACGAATAAAAAGAAGATTGTTATGAGCTTCTGTTATTATTCATTTGATCCTATTATTACGGCGAACAAATGTAAAAGGAAAAAACTTCGAGTTTAACCAGGAAACAGGATATTACCCCTTTTTTAGAAAAAGGGGTAAACTCCGTTGGAAGGTCTTTATCGTCGTTACCCTAACACATCCCAATGGAAAAAAGTTACTATAACTTGAAACTTTCTATCGCTATCAACGTCGTTATCAATAATCCCCTCTACGAGCGAATAAACGGATATAGAAAAATAGGTATAAAAAAGAGGGTAGGAAGAGAGTACGTCGTGCGAGTTTAAGTTCTAGCAACGAGGTTTTTTTTTTTTTTTTCTTTTTTTACTTTTATTCGAAGTAGTCTTGCTAAATTTTCTTTTTTCCTCCAACGCACATCACGTAAAATTTAATAAATATTTGATCGTTAAATCGTCAACCCCCTTTATATCAATGAGATTAACCGATCAATTCTCTAATATTTTTTTTTTTTCTAATACTTTTTTTTTTTTACCCCCGTCGAATGTCACGGACGAACTTTCTTCATTTTTCGTTCTCTCTCCTGGCTAACTATATTATTCAAGCGTGCATTTCTAACCCCTTTTTTTTCTCTTTTTTTTTTTTTTCCTTCAAAAAGGAGTTTACAACGGAGGTTGATCGATCGTTTTTCTGTCAGTCAGTTGTGAACCTTCAAAGGGATAACATGGAGAAAAAAGTAGACGTAAGCATGGACAGTATTTTCTTTCGTTACACTTTTATATCTAGTGCAATATGCAATTATGAAATCGCACGTACATATTGTTTACATTTTATTTATATTTTTTTTGTATACTTTTTTTTTCGTTTTTTTTTCTTTTTTTTTTTCTATCATACGGTGGCATATTATTAATATATTGGTTTTTGTTATTAATACGATGACATTGGAATGACATTAATCTCATAAGAATTTTTTGTTTTCTTTAATTTTGATTTTAATAGATTGTATTTAATTAAAATTGATCGCATTGATTTTGGAATTTCATTGTAATGGCTGTTTATTTTCTTTTTTTTTTAGATCGCCATATTTATAAAATTTCTTTTCTTTTTTCGTATTAATAAGTTTCTTGATAATAATCTTTTTTTTTTTATCTCATGAACTCTATTTTTTCAGATTAGAGTTCTAGGTTATTTGGCTCCTTATTCATTGTTTTTATTGTCAAATAATTTTTTGTTTTCTTTAATTTTGATTTTAATAAATTGTATTTAATTAGAATTGATCGCATTGATTTTGGAATTTCATTGTAATGGCTGTTCTTGTAATGTAATTTCTTTTCTTTTTTCGTATTAATAAGTTTCTTGATGATAATCTTTTTTTTTCTATCTTATGAACTCTATTTTTTCAGATTAGAGTTCTAGATTATTTGGTTTCTTATTCATTGTTTTTATTGTCAAATAATTTTTTGTTTTCTTTTATTTTGATTTTAATAAATTGTATTTAATTAGAATTGATCGCATTGATTTTGGAATTTCATTGTAATGGCTGTTCTTGTAATGTAATTTCTTTTCTTTTTTCGTATTAATAAGTTTCTTGATGATAATCTTTTTTTTTTCTATCTTATGAACTCTATTTTTTCAGATTAGAGTTCTAGATTATTTGGTTTCTTATTCATTGTTTTTATTGTCAAATAATTTTTTGTTTTCTTTTATTTTGATTTTAATAAATTGTATTTAATTAAAATTGATCGTATTGATTTTGGAATTTCATTGTAATGGCTGTTTATTTTCTTTTTTTTTTTTTAGATCGCCATATTTATAAAATTTCTTTTCTTTTTTCGTATTAATTAGTTTCTTGATGGTAATCTTTTTTTTTTATCTCATGAACTCTATTTTTTCAGATTAGAATTCTAGATTATTTGATTTCTTATTCATTTTTTTTTATTGTCAAATAATTTTTGTATGTTATCATAATAACGGATATAATTATTATATTTGTTATTAATACGATGACATTGGAATGACATTAATCTCATAAGAATTTTTTGTTTTCTTTAATTTTGATTTTAATAAATTGTATTTAATTAAAATTGATCGTATTGATTTTGGAATTTCATTGTAATGATTGTTTATTTATTTTTTTTTTTTTTTAGATCGCCATATTTATAAAATTTTCTTTCGTTTTTTCGAATCAATAAATTTATTCATGTTAATTTTTTTCTTCCGTGAATTCAATTTTTCAATTTAGAGGTTTAATATAATTTTTTATTTGTTGTTTTTATTTTCAAATAATATTTGTTTATTATCATAATAGAAGGTGATATAATTATTATAAAATTTCTTTCAGTAATATTTTTGTTTTTTTTAGCCAAATTGTAAAATATTATTAATATATACATTTTATTATTAATATGATAACATTGAAATGAAATTAGTTTAACAACAAATCTTTTTGTTTTCTTTTTATTTTTTTGAATTTAATAATTTATATTTTTATAAATATAATAGTTTTTCCATTGATAGCCGTATTTATGGAATTTTTTTTTTCTGCAATAATTAAATTTCTGCACGATTATTTCTTTTTTTTTTCTTTCGTCTTTTTCACAAAATAAAAATTTAATTTTGTTTCAAATTTATCTAAATTATTTCGTTTCTCATTTATTATTATTTTTTTTTTTTTCGAAATGCAAAAAAAATTTCTCGTTATAGCCACGAAGAAAATTGACACATAGTGGTTGTAAAAGTTCATTAAAATGATTTTTCTTTTGATTGTTTTTTTCCTCTCTACTTTTATTATTTATTTAAAAAATTCATTATTTTCTTTCTCATAATTCTAATTATTTATTAATTTTTATTTACACACATATACACACACATATATATTTACATATATATATATATACATATATTATTGTTATTATTATTATTATTATTATTATTATTATTATTATTATTATTATTGTTATTATTATTATTATTATTATTATTATTATTATTATTATTATTACAGGTAATAGATGTAACCGAAGCAATGAAGTCTTTAGCATGGAACAGATTATTGCTAAAATACATTGGAATTTGGCCACTTGAGATATCTTATATCCATTTTCTTCTATATTTTTTTTATCTTTTCTTACATAATTTATTGTCAATTATCGAATTGAGAAATGGTAAAAATGATTTCGAAGCTAATATGGAATTTTTTACGGAAAACGTATTGCACCTAATGGTGCTAACGAAAGTATTGATGTGCTGGTTAAACAGAGAATCATTAGGACGTTTGCTAGCCGAAGTACAAAATAATTTCAACGTCGATAATTACAATACGTTAGAGAAGAGATTCATTTTCATGAAATATAGTAAATTGGCGAAATATTATTTTTTAGTAGCTCTAACAACGATGATTTGTACCACTGTAACATATTATATCCATGCATTGCTGCCTAATGTACAAATGGGTAAATCGTTTTAATCAAATTTATTCAAGAGATAATTTTATTAATTACTATTTTATTCAATTATGTACGTATACAGTGTGATTACAAAATTATGAATCTTTAACATCTTTTTTCTTAGAAGCAAATGCGAAGAAAATATATATATATATATATATATATATATATATATATATATATAAATATTAAGCAATGTTTTATATTATCGTGTGAAAAATATATTTTGATAAATAATGTTTGGATTCTTTGGAATCTTATCTGGAATTTTATGGCTCTTTAGTATATTTTTTTTTCTTTTTTTTTTTAGAATGTCGTATTTTTTTAACTTTTTTTTTTCATTAAATTATTTATTAAATTAAATTATTATTGAATTAATTGATTTCTATCGAGTAAAAACAATCTTAATATTCAATAAAAAAAATTGAAAGAGAATAATACGAAACAATCCTACATAAAGTATGTTTACTAACTTACTATAGCTTTTAATTTGAAAAAGGACAAATTTTAAAATTAATTTACAATAACAACAATAAAAAAAAAATAATTAATAATAAATAAATATAAATAAGTAATAAATAATTCGATAAATATTCGAATTGTCCAATATTTTCTTTTACTTCGAATCGACATATTCTAAATCACAATTGTCGCTTCTAATCGCATCTAAATTTTTTTTTTTTTTCTGAATAAAATATATGAAATACATGTATATATCATTATATAAATCGTACATATATTATATGAATTATTTTATTCGTATTTTATATAAATTATATATATATATATATTTATTATATATTATATTTTATTACGTTACAGTGATAAAAAATTCATCATTGAGTTACAAACCACCGTACAAAACAGAAACCATTGTTGATATATACGACATTAGGATATATGTTTGTCTCTGCATTTATCAAGTATTGTTAGTACCAACTATTATATTAGGTTACGTTGGATTTGATTGTTTGTTCGCAAATCTCGCATTTCATATTACCGCACAATTTGGAATTCTTAGCTGTATGCTCAGAGAAATTCTCGATGACTCTAAAACATTCCAATGTAATATAAGGGAACTTGTACTTCGACATTACAAATTGATAAGGTAAAAATAAATTGATATAAGGTAATTTTTTTTTTTTAAATATAATAAAAACAATTTTTTCTTTTTTAAATCCAATGCAATAAAAAAAAAAAAAAAATTAAAATGTATATCACGTTATAAAGCGACGATCGATCAGCAACGCAAGTTACATATTTTTTTTTTTTTTTTTTTTTTTTTTTTTTTTATTAATTCAAAGTCATTTATGAATGAAAAATTTTTCGAACGTGAATTGTTCGATTCAAATGATAAAATGTCGTCGCAATTATCGTATCTTTATTTTTGATAAGTTTACATGGTTATTTTTTAAAAAGACATCTGTGCTTATTTTTTTTTTTTCGAACAGAAAACAATACTTTTCTATTTTGTAACGTTCACATATTTCACATGAACAAAAGGACAAGTAAATTCTCTTTGAAGTATTATTGTTTGAGATCGAAATAAATTCTCCGACGGTTAAAATTTATTAAAAAAAAAAAAAAAAAAAAAAGAAAAAAAGAAAAAAAAATTCGCATTTAATTATCCGACAAAATATATATATTGATATAAATAATTAATGTTACGTATTATTTTCTAGAAATATATGTCCGATTTCTTCTCTGTACGATTTTAACGTGACCTTATTCATTCTGTACGAAGAGAAAGATTATACCTAAACAAAAAATTATAATCTCAGTGACAAATGTATATATCAATATTTTTTATGTTTTATTTATCACATTACATCTATCATCGTGTTACATAAATGTATCATATATTTTACTCGACCTAACAATTTCTTTAGACAAGCCAAATCTTTGGAAGATAATTACAATGTAATAATATTACAACAATTGATGGGATCAACGTTTCAACTTTGTGCATCCGGTTACAATACACTTTTGGTACCTATTATGCGTGACATGTTATTGCAGTAATGTAAAAGAATATCTCTGATATTTATTTATTTTTCTTTTTTTTTTTTTCTTAATATTTACAATTTTCTTCAGGGCTCAGTAAACAGTCAAGCATTGACAGTGATGGTATTCAATTTTTATGCTATGAACACATTGAGTACATTAATTACTTATTGTTACATCGGCGAGTGTCTTATTCAGGAAGTAATTAAAATTAATTTACGAGATAACAGAGTGTTATATTTAATTTGTTCGCCTGTAAAATTGTTTCGTTTCTATTAATATTATTTTAATTTCTGAATGAATATTTATCCGTAAATTTATTATTACGATTAATTTATTTTTATTTGATTTCATAAAAAAATGGAATAAAATGATCATTGTTACTAACAAACACGTATTTATTAATAAATCTATAATTTTTATTTCGAAACTGAATAAAGTTTAATTAATAAATAAATATTACAATAGGTATAATTAAGATCGTTCAATATTTAATTTCGTAATGATAATTAATATTAATTTTTTTGACACATTAATTAATATTATTTATTATATATTCCTAATGTCAGATTTGTTATATTTTTAAATAAATTTATTAATCATTTCTAAAAGATTAAGTATCACGTAAATTAAATTAAGTGATTAAAATTATTTATTAATATATATTAAATTGATATTTTTATATACAGGATGACTGATTTTAACAAAATGACATTTCTCTTCTAAAACGTAAAAAATTTTATTTGAAACATTTGTTTATAGATCCAGTAAAATCGAATATATATTGTTATATCCTTTAGAATTTGTACACCCAGTATGTAATCGATTCAATTATTTCTAATTTTTTATTTTAACATCGATTTATTTGACGAAAAATTTATTTATTATAAATGAAACAAATAGATTAATTTTTATAAACAATAATTTCTTTTCTTTTTGAAAATTTTCAAATGCTGCTTTACAATATACGACAAGAAAAATATTTTTTTTTTCGGATACATCAGATACTTGAGACGAACTAAACATGATTTGTATTTAGTAAATCATATTTACGACTTATGAGAGTATCCAATAATATTTGCAAAAAAAAAAAAGGAACAAATTTATTGCGATCAAATTCGATAGGACACTCTGTAATACACTCAATCCTTCGATATCTATTAACAATTGAAATTATTTAAAAAAAAATTTAGAGTTTGAGCCTGAGCAATGCAATTTATCGTTACGAGTGGTATAACGTGTCACCTATGAACTTAAAAATGGTTAATATTTGTTTGATGCGAATGAAAAGACCAGAACAACTTACTTCCGGTAAATTTTTCGTCCTATCATTGGCCTCCTTTACCGACGTAAGTGATTAAAAAATGAAAAATTAATATTAAATGATATAACAATTTTTTATTTAAATTAATATTACAATGTGTTACTCGTTAACCTGTCTTATAGATTATCAAAACTACGATGGGATATCTGTCATTAGTACGAACATTTATGTGAAGAATTTCTTTTAATCCATTTATTATTAAGGTCACTTTTAATTTTTATAATAATTAAATATCCTTTTAAAATCGACTGATTCTCTTTTTAATAATAATAATAATAAAAAATATATATATATATATATACACATATAATTAAAATCATATACGTTTTCTTTTATTTTCCTTGATCTGCTTTTTGATTATTTTTAAATTTATTCAATAGTTCAATTCAATGATATTATATCAAAATGAAATAGATTATTATCCAATATTTCTTTGAAATTGTCTAATTTCATGAATATTCAGTTAAATTTTTAGGTTATAGACAACTCAAAAATGGCGTAGTTCGATCGCCATTATTTTTCATTCTCGTTTTCAACGATTTTTTGCACGTTGCAAATGAAGAAATCCTAACAATCAACTTCCGATAAATTTTTCGTTCTATTATTGGCTCAGTTTATCGACGTAAGTATTTAAAAGAAAAAACAAGAAAAAAAAAAAGAAAAATCTGTAATTTATATTTAAATTAATATTACAATTTAAAAATTATTATATTAAATTAATATTACTCGTTAACTTGTTTTATAGATTCTCAAAACCACGATGGAGATATCTGTCACTACTACTGAACATTCCTATAAAAATTACTTTTTATTCTTATTTAATCCACTTATTAACGAGAACACTATTATATTTAATAATAATTAAACGTCGTTCTAAATCAATTGATATTCTTTTCAATATAAAAAAAACAAAAAAAAAAAAAAAATAGAAAAAAAGGAGAAAAAAAAGAAAATATTTCCGTTCCTTATTTTTTTCATATCTCTTTTTTTTCTTTTCGTTAACTCGTCATCATTTTATCGCAAATTTTAATATAAATCAATGAGCATTGTTTAACCATAATTAATTCCTTGAAATTCACTTCACGTTATAAAAAAAAAGCTTATTATATATATTATATTAAATATAATATATATATATATACATATATAGATTATATAAATTTTCGAATGTATATTAATTGTATTAAATAATATTAATATAATAATATATAGTAACAATAATAAAAATTATACTACTCACTCAGTATTCAACAAATAAGATGTATATGCGATTGAACATGTCAAATATTATTGATAATCATTGTATTGATTATTTTTTGCTTCAATTCGAACGTAAGAACACCGTCCTCTTATTGTCGATAATTGATTACAAACTTGAACTTATTACGGTTAGTATAATGCACGTAATTATCGTAGGACAAAGTTCACCACGAAGTTATGGCAATTGATAGATATATATATATATATATAGAAGAAGATTGATATGAACGTCGGAAATATATGGATATTTTCAAACTTGTTCACGTTGAAATTTTTCTTATCAATTAATTCGAACGGACGCGTTTCAATCGTAAGCATCGTACAACGTACACTTAACACATTCAAAATGATCACAATGAAACGACGAGAAGAAGATTGCTATAGTGTTTCACAGTTCAACCGATACTATTCATATGACGAACACCATAAAAAAGGCAAACTTTGAATATAACGAGGAAATAGGATGCAACATATAAAGAAGCGGGGTATACATCGTGGAACGTCTTTATCGTCGTCACCCTAACACTCCAATGGAAAAGTTACTTTACGTGAAACTTTCTTTCGCGACGACGATATCAACAACCCCCTTGTACGAGCGAATAAACGGACGTAGAAAAAAGAAAAGAAAGGGGGAAAAAAAAAGTAAGAAAAACTTTGTGCGAACGAGAATTGTAGCAATGATGTCCTCCTCCTTTTTTTTTCTTTTTTTTTTTTTTTTTTTTTTAACAAAGTAGTTAAATGTTTTCCAAGTACATTAGATATAGTTGAATAAATATTTTATCTGTAGATAGTCAACCCCTGTATCAACGGAGATACACTCAATCGATCAATTTTCTAATAAGTTTTTTTCCCGTCTAATGTCACGGGCAAACTTTTTTCCTTTTTTTTTTGCTCCTGCCTGATTATATTATTTACATGTTCATTTCTAACCCTTTTTCTTTTTTTTTTTTATTTCGAAACAGAGTTTACAACGGGGGTTGTTCCACCGTTTTAATGTCAGTCAGTTGTGAACCTTCAAAGGGATAACATGGAGACAAAAATAGAAGTAAGACGGATAATATTTTTTTTTCTCGTTACACTTGTTCATATATGATTTATATTTTTCTTGTATATATATTTTTTTCTCTCTCCCTCTCTCTCTCTCTTTTTTTTTTTTTTTTTTTTCTTTTTCGTCAGTCATTAACATGTGGTATCATTTACTAATATATAGATTTTATTATTAACACGATGACATTAATCTGATAACAAATTTTTTTTGCTCCATTTTCTTTTTTTAGATTTAATAATTTATATTCAATTAAAATTTGTCTTAATTGATTTTGTTATTGAATTATAATGGATTTTCCATTGGTCGTTATATTTAATCGATTTCTTTTTCTATGATACAATAAATTTGTATACGATATTTTTGGTTTTTGTTTTGTATTTTTTGTTTTTTTTTTTTTTTGTTTCTTTTTTTATCTTACAAAACATAAATGAACTTTATGTCCAAATTAAAGATTTATCAATTACTTGAATATTTTCATTAATTTTTTAAATGATATTTAAATTATTTAAAAAAAAAAATTTCTTTTTGTAATGATAAAGATAAGTGACACGTAATAATTGTAAAAGTTCTTACAATGATTTTCTTTTTTCCTTTTACGTTTATTAATTAATTCATAAGTTCCTTGTTTTATTTGTGATATTTTATTATATCTTTTTCAATTATTTACTAATTTTTATCTATATATATATATATATATATATATATATATATATACATACATACATATATTATTGTTATTATTATTATTATTATTATTATTACAGGCAATAGACGTAACTGAAGCAATGAAGTCGTTACTATGGAACAGACAATTACTGAAATATGTTGGAATTTGGCCACTCGAGATTTCTAATGCCCTTTTTCTCTTTTTTTTCATATATCTTTTTTTACATTGTTCATTTACATTTGCCGAATTGACACATCGTAAGCACGATATCGAAGTTAATATGGCAATTTTCACGGAAAACGTATTGCTCTTAATGACGCTAACGAAAATAACAACATGCTGGATGAATAGACGATCATTAAGAAATTTACTCGTCGAAGTTAAAAATAATTTCATCGTCGACAATTACAATACGTTTGAGAAAAGATTTATATTCATGAAATATACGAAATTGGCGAAATATTATCTTTTAGTGGCAGTACCAACTATGACATTTGCAACATCATCTTATTACATTCGTGCTTTATTGCCTAACGTGCAAATGGGTAAAAAAAATTGTTCTATAAAATTTATCCAAGAGATAATTTTATTTATTAATTAGAGATAATTTATTATAATTTCATTAATTCTATTGATTTAACGTGCGTTTATAGATTTATATTACAAAAGATATCAAACTTGAATGTCTTCATTAATATTTTATAATTTTTTAATTGAATATTTTCTTTTCTAAAATGTCGTATATTTTCAATTTTTTTTTTTTTTTTGGATTAATTATTTCAACGGTTTTAATCAATTATCATTCAAATTAATCGACTTCTTTCAAATGCAAACGATCATAATATTCAATGAAAGAAGAAAAAGAAAAAAAAAAGAAAAAAAAATATACAAGACATTCTTACAATAACCATTGATATTAACATACTATGGCTTTTAATTTTGAAAATAAAAAAAGATTAAAATTTACAATATAATGTCAATAATAATAATAATAATAATATCATAATTAAATAAATATTCCAAGTGTCCAATATTTTCTTTTCTCTTTGCAATCGACATATTCTAATCACAATTATCGTTTCCTAATTCATATCAATTTCATTTTCTTAATTCAATATATGAAATTTATATATATTATTATTAGGGTTGGAAACTATGAAACGGGCGTTGAATGAAAATAAATAACTAAACAAAAACGCCCGTTTCATAGTTTCCAACCTGATAGTTATATATTAGGGTTGGAAACAATGAAACGGGCGTTGAATGAAAATAAATAACTAAACAAAAACGCCCGTTTCATAGTTTCCAACCTGATAGTTATATATTCGGGTTGGAAACAATGAAACGGGCGTTGAATGAAAATAAATAACTAAACAATAACGCCCATTTCATAGTTTCCAACTTAATACTTATATATTAGGGTTGGAAACAATGAAACGGGCGTTGAATGAAAATAAATAACTAAACAATAACGCCCATTTCATAGTTTCCAACTTAATACTTATATATTATGTTGGAAACTATGAAACGGGTGTTGAATGAAAATAAATCACTAAACAAAAACGCCCGTTTCATAGTTTCCAACCCTAATATATAAATCATACATGTGTTATATGAATTATTGTATTTGTATTTTATACGAATTATATATTTTTTTTTATTATATATTATATTTTATTTTTTTTGCAGCGATTAGAAATTCATCATTGAGTTACAAACTACCGTACAAAACACGAACCATCGTCGATATACGCGACATTAGGATCTATATTTTTCTTTGTATTTATCAGATGTTGGTAGTACCGAGTATTGTATTAGGTTTCGTTGGATTTGATTGTTTGTTCGCCAATCTCTCATTTCATATTACCGCACAATTTGGAATACTTAGTTGTATGCTCAGAGAAATTCTCGACGATTCTAATGCATTTCAATGTAATATAAGAGAACTTGTATTACGGCATTACAAATTGATAAGGTAAATACAAATTGATAAGATAATTTTTTTTAAATATAATGATAATTTTCTTTCTTTTTTTTCTATTTCAATGGAATACAATAATTGATATCTGAATTATTTTACAATCGGACGATCGATATTGATAAAAAATTTCTTTTGTCGTAAATTCAATGTCATTTATGATTAGAAGAATTTATTTCGATTTTATCGATGAAATATCTATGATAATTATGGTGTCTTTATTTGGTGAAAGTTTTTATGGTGTCTTTATTTGGTGGTCGTTATTCAATAATTGAAATTTAGCTTTGTTTCTTTTTTTTGTTTTTTATACAGAAACCTACATTTTTTCTCTTTTTTTTTTCTTTCTTTTTTTTTTTTTTTTTTTTTAGGACGATGACATATTCCACGTGAAAGACAAACAAGTAACTTTCGCCTGAATATTTTTTTTCGTGATCAAAATGATTAAGATGTATTAAAAGAGAAAAAAAAAGATCCATACGATTATCCAACAAATATATAAATATAAATAATTATTATATTATAATATTATTAATGCTCTATATTATTATTTAGAAAAAAAAAATATATATATATATATATTCGCTGTATGATTTTAAAATGTGAATATTTCATTCTATACCAAAAAAAAAGGAAATATACCTAAATAAAAAATTATAATCTCAGTTACAAATGCATAATAATAAATATTTTTTTATTATTTTATTTATGATATTACATCTATAATAGTGTTACGTAAGTGACTTATATATTTTATTTTGATTTTTTTTTTTTTTTTTTAGGCAAGCAAAAACATTGGAAGATAATTTTAATGTAATAATATTACAACAATTAATGGGATCAACGTTTCAACTATGTGCATCTGGTTATAATACAATTCTGGTATCTAATAAGCGTTGATCTGTTAATGCGCTAATGTAATGAATATCTTTGATGTTTATTTTTTTTTCCTTTTTTTTTTTCTTTTAAATGTTTACTACTTTCTTATAGAATTCTGTGGACAAAGAAGGATTAACGTTATTCATATTCTGTTTTTATGCTACGAGCACATTGTGTACATTGTTTGTTTATTGTTACATCGGCGAATGTCTTATTCAGGAAGTAATTAAAATTAATTTACGAGATAACAGAGTGTTATATTTAATTTGTTCGCCTGTAAAATTGTTTTGTTTCTATTAATATTATTTTAATTTCTGAATGAATATTTATCCGTAAATTTATTATTACGATTAATTTATTTTTATTTGATTTCATAAAAAAATGGAATAAAATGATCATTGTTACTAACAAACACGTATTTATTAATAAATCTATAATTTTTATTTCGAAAATGAATAAAGTTTAATTAATAAATAAATATTACAATAGGTATAATTAAGATCGTTCAATATTTAATTTCGTAATGATAATTAATATTAATTTTTTTGATACATTAATTAATATTATTTATTATATATTTCTAATGTCAGATTTGTTATATTTTTAAATAAATTTATTAATCATTTCTAAAAGATTAAGTATCACATAAATTAAATTAAGTGATTAAAATTATTTATTAATATATATTAAATTGATATTTTTATATACAGGATGACTGATTTTAACAAAATGACATTTCTCTTCTAAAACGTAAAAAATTTTATTTGAAACATTTGTTTATAGATCCAGTAAAATCGAATATGTATTGTTATATCCTTTAGAATTTGTACACCCAGTATGTAATCGGTTCAATTATTTCTAATTTTTTATTTTAACATCGATTTATTTGACGAAAAATTTATTTATTATAAATGAAATAAATAGATTAATTTTTATAAACAATAATTTCTTTTCTTTTTGAAAATTTTCAAATGCTGCTTTACAATATACGACAAGAATAATATTTTTTTTTTCGGATACATCAGATACTTGAGACGAACTAAACATGATTTGTATTTAGTAAATCATATTTACGACTTATGAGAGTATCCAATAATATTTGCAAAAAAAAAAAAAGGAACAAATTTATTGCGATCAAATTCGATAGGACACTCTGTAATACATTCAATCCTTCGATATCTATTAACAATTGAAATTATTTAAAAAAAAATTTAGAGTTTGAGCCTGAGCAACGCATTTTATCGTTACGAGTGGTATAACGTGTCACCAGTGAACTTAAAAATGGTTCAAATTTGCATGTTGCGAATGAAGACGCCACAGCAACTAACGTCTGGTAAATTTTTCGTTCTATCATTGGCCTCCTTTACCGACGTAAGTATTTCAGAAAAAAAAAACCAAAATTTTTCTACCTATATTTAAGTTAACTGTAAAATATATTACTCGTTAAAATATTTTATAGATTCTCAAAACTACGATGGGATATCTGTCACTATTGCGAACGCTTCTATGAAGATTTTTTTGCATTCTTTTTAGGTCCACTTATTAAAGAGAACACTTTTATTTTTTCTATTAATTAAACATCGTTCTAAGTCAGTTGGTGCACTTTTTATTAAAAAAAAAAAAAAAAAAAAAAAAAAAAAAAAAAAAAAAAAAAAAAGAAGAAAAAGAAAGACAAATATCCGTTCCATTTTTTTTTCATATTTTCTTTTTTTTGCGTTAATCCAACATAATTTTTTCTAGCGAATATTAATGTAAATTAACGTGCATTATTTAATAATAGAAAAAATTTTTGAACTTTACGCCGATCATGATATCTCAACTGGAAATCTTGTCGTGTATATCGTACTAAATATAATATATATATATATATATATAGATTATAAAAATATATGTACACATTTTTATTATATTATAAAATCTTAATATAATAAAATCTTAATTTAAGAAAAAATAATATAAATTATTCTACTCACTCGATATTCAATAAATAAGATGTATATACGATTGAATATATCGACGAATAGTATTGTTAGTACTTCTATTGATTTTTCTACTTCAATTCGAATATAAGAACGTATTCCATTCATTGTCGATAATTGATTACAATCTTGACGTGTGTTATGGTGATTAAAATGCACGTAATTATCGCAGGACAAAGTTCACCATGAAGTTATGACAATCGAGAGATATATAGAAGAAGATAGGTTATAGACGTTGAAAATGTATGAATATTTTCAAACTTTTTCACATCGATAGTTTTCTTATCAATTAATTCGAATGAATGCCATTCAATCGTACGCACTTTACAACGTACAATTAACATTTCCCTAATAATCACGATGTAGCAATGATAAGTAGATCGTTATAGTGTCTGTTATTATATTCGATACTATCCTTATGACGGACATCATAGAAATAAAAACTTTGAATATAACCAGGAAACAGGATATAACTTATTTGAAAAAAGGGGTAAACTCGGTGATAGGTCTTTATCGTTGTCACCCTAACATCCCAATGGAAAAGTTACTTTACGTGAAACTTTTCTTTCGCTAGGACGATATCGACAACCCCTTGTACGAGCGAATAAACTATCGTCGTAGAGGAAAGAGAAGAATAGAATAGAGAAAAAAAAAATGAAGGAAGAGAAAACGTTGTGCAAATGATAGTTGCAGTAACAAAGTTTTTTTTTTCTTCTTCTTTTTTTTTTTTTTTTTGATCTCGATATTATCTACTGAATATTGTCCTATCACATCGGGGTAAAGTTGAATAAATATTTTATCTTTAAATGGTCGATCCCTGTTTCAACGTGATACAGTTGATCGATCTATTTTCTAATAAGTTTTTTTTTTTACCCCCGTTTAATGTTACGGACAAATTTTCTTTTTTTTTTTTTTCTTTTTCTTTTCTTCTTCTTCTTTCTCCTGCTTGATTATATTATTCAAACGTACGCTTTCTAATACCCTTTTATCTTTTTTTTTTTTTTTCTTTTCTTTTTTTCTTTTTCTCAAAAAGAAGTTTACAACGGAGGTCGATCGATTATTTTTCTGTCAGTCACTTGTGAACCTTCAAAGGGATAACATGGAGAAAAAAATCGAAGTAAGCATGGATAATATTTTTTTCTCATTATTCCTTTTACTTCTGTACTGTATTTAATTTTGAAATCGCACGTACATATTGTTTGTATATTATTTTGTGCATTTTTTTTTTTCTTTTTCCAATCAATTTTCTTTCTCACTTTGTTTAGGCATATGTTATAACATTGCTATTATACAGATTTTAATGATTAATATGATGACATTACAAAAGAAATTAATTTGGATAGAACTTTTTTTTTTTTTTTTGGTTTCTTTCTGATTTTAATACGTTATAGTAAATAAAAATTGATCGTATTGATTTGAGTTACTGTTATGTACTGTATTAGGGTTCTTTGAATGGGGCGGTATTATTCTCATAATCAATAAATTTGTTCGTGACATTTTTTGTTTTCTTTCTGTTTTTTTTTTTTTTTTCTTTTATTATATATTTTCCAAATCGAAGTTAAATACATCTCAATTATTTGATTTTTTTATTTATCTTTATCACCATAAAAATTTCTTTTTTATTATTAATTTAAGAAAGAAGAGGAACACAATAATTATAAATGTTTTGCAATAAATTTTTCTTTCGACTTGTTTCTCTTATTGGTTTGTCTTTTTTTTTCTTTTTTTTTTTTTGTAATAACATTATTGATAATAAATTTCTTCATCGTTTTTTAATCTTTAATTTACATGGTAGATTACATTATAATAATTATATATTAAGTGCTATTTTTAAGAATTATTGTTTTTCTTTTACTTTAATATTTATTTTAATTATTTATTTCATATAAATCAATGAAAGTTGAAGCGCAAAAGAATATGTCAAATGTAAACAATTGAAATTTATTAATAAATGTGACTGCAATACATTAATATATTAATCTATTGCATATATTAAATATATTAATTGGACGTGATTATTAATACTAAATGGTCATATTAAATATAAATAAAAAATTCTTTTTTGACTTTATTTCATTGACAAAAAAATCATTAATATCTAATGTGGAAAATTTTTTTTTTTTTTTTTTTTTTTCATTAATAAAGTCATCAATAAGAACCGAAAATTCTAATGAATTAATAAATTAAATATTTTAATAAATTAAGAAAAATTATTATACATGTGTATGTGATATTTTTTAGATACTGAAAGGATTAAGAAGTATTTCAAATAAAAATTTAATATATTAAAATATAATACAAAAAAAAAAGAAAAAAACATTTATCGTTATTATTAATAGTTATGCTTCTTATCAAATCAATGATAACGATTCGTATTATTTCGCATAATTTTTGTCTGTGCGAAAAAATTTCTAATATTTGACAAAATATTTTTAAATATTCTTTAAAGAAATAAATGACAAAATATATTTGTTCATTTAATAATTCACAATTATATATTATTAATATTAATAAATCTATTTTTTTTTATGTATTTATTACTATCAATTATCGATTTTATTGTATAAACGATATCTTTAAAATCACGTGATATAATTAATTTTTTTACTAAATAATGTCCTTTATTCCACTATTAATAATTTATTATATTAATAATTATTTATTAATTTATATATATATATATATATTTATTTCTTATTATTATTATTATTATTATTATTATTATTATTATTATTATTATTATTATTATTATTATTATTATTACAGACAATCGACCTTATTCGATTTTATCGTATTAAAGAAATCATTAAAATAACATTATATAATTTCTTTTTAGACTATAGTTACTAAATAATGTTTTTTATTTCATTTCTAATAATTTATTATATCCTTTTCAAGTATTAACTAATTTTTATATATACATATATAAATATATTTATTATTACTCTTACAGACAATCGACGTAACCGAGGCAAAGAAGTCATTACTATGGAACAGATTATTATTGAAATACGTTGGAATTTGGCCACTCGAAATTTCTAATGCCCTTTTTTTCTTTTTCTTTATTTATCTTCTCTTACATTGTTCATTGGCATTTGCCGAATTGACATATCGTAAACACGATTTCGACGTTTACATGGCAATTTTTGATGAAAACTTATTGATCCTAATGACGCTAATGAAAATAACGTCATGTTGGATAAACAGACAAGCATTAAAACGTCTGCTCGCTGAAATAGAAAATAATTTCATCGTCGACAATTATAATACGTTCGAGAAGAGATTCATTTTTATCAAATATACCAAAATGGCGAAATATTATCTTTTATTAGCGGTTACATCGATGACTTTAACAACTGGATTTTATTATATTCGGGCTTTGTTACCAAATGTAAAAATGGGTAAACGTTCTATCAAATTTATACAAGAGATAATTTTATTAATTACTAATTTATCCATTTTTCTGCGTATACAGAGTTATCACAAAATTATCAATGTTGTTGAATATCTCTTTTGTTTGCAACAAACGAAAAGAATAAGAAAATTTATTTATATATATATTATGCAAAGTTTCATGTTTACATGTGAAAAGTATATTTTAATAATCTGATAAATTATGTCGTACTTCTGCTTCAAACTGAAAGTTTAGTGATCCACTAGGATCTTTTTTGGAATATCGTATTTTTTTTGACTACTTTTTGAAATAATTATTACGATTGTTTAATCAATTTTTCAATCAAATAAATTGACTTCTTTCAAATGTAAATAACCTTAATGTTTAATTAAAAAATGTTCGAAGAAAAATATATGAAATCCTGTTATAATAAATATGGTTACTAACTTACTATATCTTTAAGTTATAAAAAGAATATTTTTCAAATTAATTTACAATAACAATAATAATAATAGCTTAATTAATTCGATAAATATTCGAAGTGTCCAATATAAACTTTTATTCAAAATCGGTATATTCTAATCGCAATTATCGTTCTTAATTCATCTAAGTATCATTTTTTAAATTCACCATCTGAAATTTATGTATATATATTTATATATTATTATATAAATCATACATGTATAATAGAAATATATCGTATTTTATTATAATTTCCATACATATTTTTATTATATATTATATTTTATTCGTTACAGTCATAAGTAATTCGTCATTGAGTTACAAACTACCGTACAAATTACGAACCATTGTAGAAATTCACGATGTTAGAATCTACGTTTTTCTCTGCTTTTATCAGATGTTGATAATACCGAGTATTGTACTTGGTTTCGTTGGATTTGATTGTCTGTTCGTCAATCTCTCATTTCATATTACCGCACAATTTAGAATTCTTAGTTTTATGATTAAAGAAATTCTTGATGATCCTAATGCTTTTCAATATAATATGAGAGAACTTGTATTACGGCATTACAAATTGATAAGGTAAGAACAAATTGATAGAAGGTAATTTTGTTAAATATAATAAAAAGAATTTTTTTTTTTTTTAAATCGAATTCAATAAAAAAAAATTGAAATGTAGATCATGTTATAACAGCGACAATCGATACAACGCAGATTACATATTTTTTTTTTTTTTTTTTTTTTTTTTTTTGATTAATTCAAAGTCATTTATGAATGAAAAATTTTTCGTACGTAAATTGTTCGATTCTATTGATAAAATTTCATTGCAATTATCGTATCTTTATTTTTTCTAAATTATCAAGGTTATTTTTTAAAAAGACTAGTGCGCTATTTTTTCAAACAGAAAATATTTTTTTTTTTTTTTTTTTTTTTTTTTTTTTTTATGACGTTCACATATTCCACGTGAACAAAAAGACAAATAAATTTTTTTTTAAGTATTTTTTTTTTCATCGAGCTCGAAATCAATTTCTCCGAGGATTAAAATGTATTAAAAAAAAAAAAAAAAAATAAAGCTTATATTTGATTATTCAACAAATTATATATTGATATAAGTAATAAATGATTTATATATAAATTTTTATATTAATTTTATTATTATTATATTAATTTTATTTTAATTTATATTTAATATTAATTTATATATTAATTTATTATAAAGTTATTATTAAAATTATTATTAAATTATTATAAAATTATTATTAAATTATATATATATATATATATAATTTTTACAAATATATCTGATTTTTTCTATGCACAGTATCAAAATGTGAACAGTTTATTTTTATACGAAGTAAAAGAAATAAACAAAAAAAAAAAATAAAATCTCTGTAACAAATATATAAAATATTTATATATTTAATATTTTTTCTTTTTTTATTTATATACAAATATTTTCATTTATTTATATACAAATTATATATAAATTATTTACAAATTATTATTTATTTATATACAAATATATATAAATATTTTTTTTTATATTTAATTTATCATATTAAATCAATAATTGTATTACATAAGTTTCTAATATATATATATATATTTGATAATTTTTTTTTCTAGACAAGCAAAAACATTGGAAGACAATTTTAATGTAATAATATTGCAACAATTAATGGGCACAACTTTTCAACTTTGTGAATCTGGTTATCATACACTTTTGGTATTTATTATACGTTATAATATATTAATGGATTTAATATAAGGATTATATTTGATTTATATTTTTCTAATATTCAAAATTTTGTTTCAGAATACAGTAAAGAAGGAAGTATTAACGTTGCTCATATTCTGTTTTTATGCTTTGAGCACACTAAGTACATTGTTCGTTTATTGTTACATCGGCGAATGTCTTATTCAAGAAGTAATTGAAATTAATTGACTACATACAGGCTGTCTTATGTAACTTGATCGTCAGTGAAATATTTCAATTGTTATTGACAATATTTTAATATGTAATAAATACACATTCGTAATTTTATTATTATAATTAAATTATTTTTATTTGTTTTGACAATGAATAGCAAATAAACAGAATCAATTTTACGAAGAAAAATCTTTATTAATATATTATCTGTAATCTTTACTCATAAACTGAGTGAAGTTTCATTAATAAAAAAAAAAAAAAAAAAAAAAAAAAAAAAAAAATATTAATGATATTTAAAATCGTTCAATGTTTCATTTTGTAATAATAATTATTATTAATTTGTTTGACACATTAAGTAATATTATTTATTAAATATTTCTAATGTCTGACTTGTTATATTTTTAAATAAATTTGTTAATCATTCTGAATCATTGAGTATGACATAAATTAAATTAGATGATTAAATTGATTTATTAATATATATATATAGGGTATCTGATTTAAACAAAAAATTTATTTGAAACATTTGTTAATAGTGAATATATCGAAAATATATTGTTATATCCTTTTGAATCGAGACATCCACTATTGTCATTGATTCGATTTTATTTATAATTTTTTCAATTAACGTCAATTTACTCGACAAAAATTTCTTTATTATAATTGAAAGAAATAGATTAAATTTTTTTTTTTTTTTACGAACAATAATTTCATTTCCTTTCATTTCTTTCTTGAATTTTTAAATATACGACAAGAAAAATATAATTTCTTTTTTTTTCTTTTTTTCTTTTTTTTTTTTTTTCGTGTACATCAAAGACATAAGGCGAACTAAAACAGATTTGTATTTATTACAAAATATTTGCAATTTTCTAGGAATAATCCTATAATATATGAAAAAAAAAAAAAAAAGAAAAAAAGAAAAACAAATTGATTGCGATCAAATTCGATAGGACACTCTGTGTAATATTATCGATATCTCGATATCAACTAGCCATTGAAATTTATTTTAAAAAATTTAGAGTTGGAACCTGAGCAACGCAATTTATCGTTACGAGTGGTATAACGTGTCACCTATGAATTTAAAAATGATTAATATTTGTTTGATGCGAATGAAAAGACCAGAACAATTAACTTCCGGTAAATTTTTCGTTCTATCATTGGCCTCTTTTACCGACGTAAGTATTTAAGAGAAAAAAACAAAAACAAAAAAAAAACAAAAAAAAATTCTTCTACTTACACTTAAGTTAATGTCAAAATATGTTACTCGTTAAAATGTTTTATAGATTCTCAAAACTACGATGGGATATCTGTCACTACTACGAACTCTTCTTTGAAAAATTTCTTTTCATTCTATTTTATAATCCACTTATTAAGGAGAACACATTTATTTTTCGTTAATATTTATTAATTAATTTATTAATTAAACGTTGTTCTAATTCAGTTGATAGATTGTTTAATAATAATAATAAAAAAAAAAAAAAAAAATTTCATTTCCATATATTTCAATTTCGTTAATTTGACATAATTTTATCGCAAATTTTAATATAAATTAATGAGCATTGTTTAATCATAATTAATTCCTTGAAATTCACTTCACGTTATAAAAAAAAAAGCTTATTATATATATTATATTAAATATAATATATATATATATACATATATAGATTATATAAATTTTCGAATGTATATTAATTGTGTTAAATAATATTAATATAATAATATATAGTAACAATAATAAAAATTATACTACTCACCCAGTATTCAACAAATAAGATGTATATGCGATTGAACATGTCAAATATTATTGATAATCATTGTATTGATTATTTTTTGCTTCAATTCGAACGTAAGAACACCGTCCTCTTATTGTCGATAATTGATTACAAACTTGAACTTATTACGGTTAGTATAATGCACGTAATTATCGTAGGACAAAGTTCACCACGAAGTTATGGCAATTGATAGATATATATATATATATAGAAGAAGATTGATATGAACGTCAGAAATATATGGATATTTTCAAACTTGTTCACGTTGAAATTTTTCTTATCAATTAATTCGAACGGACGCGTTTCAATCGTAAGCATCGTACAACGTACACTTAACACATTCAAAATGATCACAATGAAACGACGAGAAGAAGATTGCTATAGTGTTTCACAGTTCAACCGATAGTATTCATATGACGAACACCATAAAAAAGGCAAACTTTGAATATAACGAGGAAATAGGATGCAACATATAAAGAAGCGGGGTATACATCGTGGAAGGTCTTTATCGTCGTCACCCTAACACCCCAATGGAAAAGTTACTTTACGTGAAACTTTCTTTCGCAACGACGATATCAACAACACCCTTGTACGAGCGAATAAACGGACGTAGAAAAAAGAAAGGAAAAAAAAAGGAAGAGAAAACGTCGTGCGAATGAGAGTTGTAAAAATAAAGTTTTCCTCTTTTTCTTTTTTTTTTTTTTTTTTTTTATCGAAGTAGTCGCTAAATATCTTTTGACGTACATCGGAAAAAATTGAATAAATATTTTATCGTTAGATAGTCAACCCCCATATCAACGAGATACGGTTAATCGTATCAATTTTCAAATACGTTTTTTACCCCCGTCTAATGTCACGGATAAACTTTCTTCAATTTTTTCTTTCTCCTTTCTGATTATATTATTCAAACGTGCATTTGCAACTCTTTCTTCTTTTTTTTCTTTTTTTTTTTTCAAAGAGGAGTTTACAACGGGGGTTGATCGATCGTTTTCCTGTCAGTCAGTTGTGAACCTTCAAAGGGATAACATGGGCACGAAGATAGAAGTAAGACGGATAATAGTTTTTCTCGTTACACTCTTATATCTGTGCTGTGTATAATTTTGATATTGCACGTACATATTGTTTATATACAATTTATGTATTTTTTTTGCACTCAATTTTGTTTTTTTTTTTCTTTCAGTCAGTGTAATATTTTTATTTCATGATATTTATCGCTAATATGGTGACATTGGGAAGAAGTTACTTCTGGGAAGAATTTTCGTTTGCGCGTTCTTCTGGCTTCATTATATAATGTTTAATAAAATTTTATCGTATTAATTTGGCACAGTTATTGTATCACCTTTTTTTTTTAAGATCGTCATATTTATTGAATTTTTTTTCTAATCAATATGTTTCTTCACGACAATCTTTTTTTTTTTTGCTTTTTTCCAAAGCTTAATTGAAATTTATTTTTAAATTAGAGTACTCGATTATTTGGATACTTAATTATTTTTCTCTTAATTGCAAATAAATTATTTTTTATTATTAAAATATGAAAGAAGAAGGGACAGAATAATTGTTAATGTTCTGTAATAACTTTTACTTTTGATTTGTTTTTCTTATTGCGTTTGTGTTACAATATTTTTTACAAAATAAATTTGTAATTTTTCTGGTACATTAAATTATAATGATCATATATTACGTTCGTTTTTTTTTTAGTAATATATGTTTTTTTTTCAAAATATTTTTATTTTTATTAATTATTTCATATAACACGACGAAATAAATTTTGTAGCACAAAAGAAAATGTTGAGATGTTAACAATAAAAATGTATTAGTGAATAATAATTGTACCTGATTACAATACTAAATGATCATACTGATTTTACAAAAAAAAAAAATACTTTTTGATTGTAACCCATAGGAAAAGAATCGTTATCCACTAAGGTGCAAAATAATTTTTTTTTCAAATTATATAAAAAAGGGGATGAATCGTAAAGTTGATAAAAATTGCATATGTGTATATGTATCTTATATCAATTATATATTGTATGTTTATTCATTAAATAGAAAAAGACAATAATATCATCACTTAATATAAATTTACAATTAAATATTATAAATATTAATATATTTATTTTTTTTATTATATTATTATTACCAGCTGCTGATATTTTCATATTAAGGAAATCATTAAAATAACATTAAATAACATTATGTAATTTTTTTTTTTAGACTAGAGTTACCAAATAATGTTCTTTATTTCATTTCTAATAATTTATTATATATTTTTCAAGTGTTTACTAATTCTTATTTATATACATATATAAATATATTTATTATTTTTCTTACAGACAATCGACGTAACTGAGGCAAAGAAGTCATTACTATGGAACAGATTATTACTGAAATACGTTGGAATTTGGCCACTCGAAATTTCTAATGGCCTTTTCCTCTTTTTTTTTATTTATCTTTTTTTGCATTGTTCATTGACATTTGCCGAACTGATACATTGTAAACAGGACTTTGATGTTTACATAGTAATTTTAAGCGAAAACGTACTACTTCTAATGACGCTAATTAAAATAACAACGTGCTGGAAAAACAGACAAGCGTTAGGACGTTTGCTTGTCGAAATACAAAATAATTTCATCGTGGACAAATACAATACATTCGAGAAGAGATTCATTTTTATCAAATATACCAAAATGGCGAAATATTATGTTTTAGTAGCAGTTACCACGATGACAATTAGCACTAGTTTTTATTACATAAACGCATTGTTGCTAAATGTAAAAATGGGTAAACGTTCTATCAAATTTATACAAGAGATAATTTTATTAATTACTAATTTATCCATTTTTCTGCGTATACAGAGTTATCACAAAATTATCAATGTTGTTGAATATCTCTTTTGTTTGCAACAAACGAAAAGAATAAGAAAATTTATTTATATATGTATTATGCAAAGTTTCATGTTTACATGTGAAAAGTATATTTTAATAATCTGATAAATTATGTCGTACTTCTGCTTCAAACTGAAAGTTTAGTGATCCACTAGGATCTTTTTTGGAATATCGTATTTTTTTTGACTACTTTTTGAAATAATTATTACGATTGTTTAATCAATTTTTCAATCAAATAAATTGACTTCTTTCAAATGTAAATAACCTTAATGTTTAATTAAAAAATGTTCGAAGAAAAATATATGAAATCCTGTTATAATAAATATGGTTACTAACTTACTATATCTTTAAGTTATAAAAAGAAAATCTTTCAAATTAATTTACAATAACAATAATAATAATAGCTTAATTAATTCGATAAATATTCGAAGTGTCCAATATAAACTTTTATTCAAAATCGGTATATTCTAATCGCAATTATCGTTCTTAATTCATCTAAGTATCGTTTTTTAAATTCACCATCTGAAATTTATGTATATATATATATATATTATTATATAAATCATACATGTATAATAGAAATATATCGTATTTTATTATAATTTTCATATATATTTTTATTATATATTATATTTTATTTGTTACAGTCATGAGCAATTCGTCATTGAGTTACAAACTACCGTACAAAACACGAACTATGTTCGATATACGTGACATTAGGGTCTTTATTTTTCTCTGTATTTATCAGATGTTGGTAGTACCATGTATTGTACTAGGTTTCGTCGGATTTGATTGTTTATTTGCCAATCTTGCATTTCATATTACCGCACAATTTGGAATTCTCAGTTCTATGCTCAAAGAAATTCTCAACGACTCTAATGCTTTTCAACATAATATAAAGGAACTTTTACTTCGACATTACGTATTGATAAGGTAAATATTAATTGATGATGTAATTTTCTTTAATATAATGAAAGTTTTCCTTTTCATTTTCAATGGAATACAATAATTGTTATCTAGATTATTTTATTATAGAATGATCCATAGTGTGTAATTTACATAATTTCTTTTTCGTTAATTCAAAGCCATTTATCATTAAAAATTATTTTCGAACATTCGAATTACTTCGATTACGTTGGTGAAATGTCATGTTAAATTAAAAGTGATAACTTTATTTGGAATAAATTTTCAAGGTCATTTTCTAAGAGACCATCTTATTTTTTTTTTTTTTCTTTTAAATAGAAATTTGCAATCTTTTTTCTATATAACAATGATATGTTCCGCATGAAATGAAAGTAAGTAACTTCTTTCTGAAATTTTTTTTTCGAGATCAAAATGTATGAGGATTAAAATGTATTAAAGAAAGAAAAAAAAAAAAAGAAAAATTATGGATTTGATTATCCAACGAATAAAATACTGATATAAATAATTAATGTTATATATTATTTTTTAGAAATATATTTGATTCTTTTTCTATAGTTTTAACGTGACCGTTCATTCTGTACAAAGAAAAAAAAAATATCTGAAAAAAAATTAAGACGTTTGTAACGAAAATTTTTTATATTTGATAAATCATATTAAATTTATTATCATATTAAATAAAGGTATATATGTATATATATATATGTATTTATGTATATGTTATTTGACATTTTTTTAGACAAGCGAAAACTTTGGAAGATACTTTTAATGTAATAATATTGCAACAATTAATTGGCACAACGTTGCAACTTTGTACAGCTGCTTATAATACAATCTTGGTACGTATTACATACAATATGTTAATGAACTTAATGTAACGAAAATCTTTCATTTATCTATTTAATTTTTTTTCTAATCTTTACAATTTTATTTTAGGACTCAGTAAGCAAAGAAACATTAACGTTAATCATATTCTGCCTTTATGCTTTGAGCACATTGAATACATTGTTTCTTTATTGTTACATCGGCGAGTGTCTTATTCAAGAAGTAATTGATATTATTTAATTACATCCAGGGTGTCTTATATTATTTGATTGTCAATAAAATATTTCGATTGTTATTAAAAATAATATATAGTGTGATAAATGTTCATTCGTGAATCTATTCTTATAATTAAATTATTTTTATTCGATTTCACAAAAGAATCGAAAGAAACAAAACGTTTATTAATAAATCTATAATTTTTATTTCGAAACTAAATAAAATTTAATTAATAAATGAGTATTACAATTGTTATATTTAAGATCGTTTAATATTTAAATTCGTAATGATAATTAATATTAATTAGTTTGATACAATAAGTAATATTATTTATTATATATTTCTAATGCAAGGTTTGTTATATTTTTAAATAAATTAATTAATCATTTCTGAAAGATTAAGTATTATGTAAATTAAATTAAGTGATTAAAATGATTTATTAATATATATTAATTGTTATATTTATATACAGGATGCCTGAATATAACAAAATCACATTTCTCTTCCAAAACGTAGAAAATTTTATTTGAAACATTTCTTTTATAGATCCAGTGATATTGGATATGTATTGTTATATCCTTTAGAATTTGTACACTCAGTATGTAATTGATTCAGTTATTTGTAGTTTTTTATTTTAACATCAATCTATTTGACGAAAATTTATTTACTATAAATGAAACAAATAGATTAATTTTTATAAACAATAATTTCTTTTCTTTTCTTTTTGAAATTTTTCAAATGTTGTTACACACTATATGACAACTAAAATATTTTTTTTCGGATACATCAGATACTTGAGTCGAACTAAACATGATTTGTATTTATTAAATCATATTTACGACATACGAAAGTACCCTATAATATTTGAAAAAACAAAGAATAAATTTATCGCGATCAAATTAAATAGGACACTCTGTAATATACTCAATCCTCCGATATTTATTAACCATTGAAATTATTTTTAAAAATTTAGAGTATGAGCCTAAGCAATGCAATTTATCGTTACGAGTGGTATAACATGTCACCAATCAACTTAAAAATGGTAATAATTTGTATGCTGCGAATGAAGAAACCACAGCAATTAACTTCCGGTAAATTTTTCGTCCTATCATTGGCCTCTTTTACCGACGTAAGTATTTAAGAAAAAAAAATTTTTCCTACCTATACTTAAGTTAACGTTAAAATATGTTACACGTTAAAATGTTTTATAGATTCTCAAAACTACGATGGGATATCTATCACTACTGCGAACACTTCTATGAAGATATTTTTGCATTCTTTAAAGGTTCACTTATTAAAGAGAACACTTATAATTTTCATAATAATTAAACGTCGTTTCAAGTCAGTTGGTATAGTTTTTAATGAAAAAAAAAAAAATTAAGAAAATACCAAGAAATCGAAAGACAAATATTCGATCCATATTTTCTTCATACTTTCTTTTTTTGCGTTAATCCAACATCATTTTTTTCCGTGTCGAATATTAATATAAATTAACGTGCATTATTTAATAATAGAAAAAATTTTTGAACCTTACGTCGGTCATGAAATCTCAACCGAAAATCTTATCGTATATGTCGTACTAAATATAATATATATATATATATATATATATATATATATATATATATATATATATAATAAAAGTATATGTTCATATTTTTATTCTATTATAAAATTTTAATATAATAAAATCTTAATCTAAGAAAAAATAATATAAATTATTCTACTCACTCGATATTCAATAAATAAGGTGTATATGCGGTTGAATATATCGACGAATAGTATTGTTAGTCCTCCTATTGATTTTTCTATTTCAATTCGAATATAAGAACGTGATCCTTTCATTGTCGATAATTGATTACAATCTTGACGTATTAAGGTGTGTATAATGCACGTAATTACCGTAGGACAAAGTTCACCATGATGTTATGACAATTGAGAGATATATAGAAGTAGATAGGGTATAGACGTTGGAAATGTATGAATATTTTCAAACTTTTTCACATCGATAGTTTTCTTATCAATTAATTCGAATGAATGCCATTCAATCGTACGCATTTTACAACGTACAATTAACGTTTGCCTAATAATCACAATGTCGCAACGATAAGTAGATCGTTATAGTGTCTGTTATTTCATTCGATACGATCCTTATGACGAACATCATAGAAATAAAAACTTTGAATATAACCAGGAAACCGGATATAACTTATTTGAAAAAAGGGGTAAACTCGGTGGTAGGTCTTTATCGTTGTCACCCTAACACCCCAATGGAAAAGTTACTTTACGTGAAACTTTCTTTCGCCAGGACGATATCAACAACCTCCCTTTTATGAGCGAATGAACCGGGATAGAAAAAAAAAGAAAGAAGGAAAAAAAAAAAAGAAAAAGAAAGTAAGAGAAAATGTACGGATGAGAGTTGTAGCAATAGTTTTCTTTTTTTTTCTCTCTTTTCTTTTTTTTATCAAGGTAGTCACAAAATGTTTTCCAACGTACATCGGCTAAAGTTGAATAAATATTTTATCTTCAGATAGTCAAGCCCTGTATCAACGAAGATACAGTTAATCGATCAATTTTCTAAGTTTTTTTTACCCTCGTCTAATATCACGGACAAACTTTCTCCAATTTTTTTTTCTCTCCTTTCTGAACATATTATTCAAACGTGCATTTGCAACTCTTTCTTCTTCTTTTTCCTTTTTTTTTTTTTTAAATAGGAGTTTACAACGGGGGATGATCGATCGTTTTCCTGTCAGTCAGTTGTGAACCTTCAAAGGAATAACATGGGCACGAAGATAGAAGTAAGACGGATAATAGTTTTTCTCGTTAAACTCTTACATCTGTGCTGTGTATAATTTTGATATTGCACGTACATATCGTTTATATACAATTTATGTATTTTTTTTGCACTCAATTTTTTTTTTTTTTTTTTTCTTTCAGTCAGTGTAATATTTTTATTTCATGATATTTATCGCTAATATGGTGACATTGGGAAGAAGTTACTTCTGGGAAGAATTTTCGTTTGTGCGTTTTTCTGGCTTCATTATATAATGTTTAATAAAATTTTATCGTATTGATTTGGCACAGTTATTGTATCACCTTTTTTTTTTTAGATCGTCATATTTATTGAATTTTTTTTCTAATCAATATGTTTCTTCACGACAATCTTTTTTTTTTTTGCTTTTTTCCAAAGCTTAATTGAAATTTATTTTCAAATTAGAGTACTCGATTATTTGGATATTTAATTATTTTTCTCTTAATTGCAAATAAATTATTTTTTATTATTAAAATATGAAAGAAGAAGATTCAGAATAATTGTTAATGTTCCGCAATAAATTTTACTTTTGATCTGTTTTTCTTATTGCATTTGTGTTGCAATATTTTTTACAAAATAAATTTGTAATTTTTCTGGTACATTAAATTATAATGATCATATATTACGTTCGTTTTTTTTTTAGTAATATATGTTTTTTTTCAAAATATTTTTATTTTTATTAATTATTTCATATAACACGACGAAATAAATTTTGTTGCACAAAAGAAAATGTTGAGATGTTAACAATTAAAATGTATTAGTGAATATTATTTGGACGTGATTACAATACTAAATAATCATACTGATTTTACAAAAGAAAAAATACTTTTTGATTGTAACCCATAGAAAAAGAATCGTTATCCACTAAGGTGCAAAATAATTTTTTTTTCAAATTATATAAAAAAGGGGATGAATCGTAAAGTTGATAAAAATTGCATATGTGTATATGTATCTTATATCAATTATATATTGTATGTTTATTCATTAAATAGAAAAAGAAAATAATATCATCACTTAATATAAATTTACAATTAAATATTATAAATATTAATAAATTTATTTTTTTTATTTAATTATTATTATGAGCTGCTGATTTTTTCGTATTAACGAAATCATTAAAATAACATTAAATAACATTATGTAATTTTTTTTTTTTCAGACTATAGTTACCAAATAATGTTCTTTATTTCATTTCTAATAATTTATTATATATTTTTCAAGTGTTTACTAATTCTTATTTATATACATATATAAATATATTTATTATTTTTCTTACAGACAATCGACGTAACCGAGGCAAAGAAGTCATTACTATGGAACAGATTATTACTGAAATACGTTGGAATTTGGCCCCTCGAAATTTCTAATGCCCTTTTCCTCTTTTTTTTTATTTATCTTTTTTTACATTGTTCATTAACATTTGCCGAACTGATACATTGTAAACAGGACTTTGATGTTTACATGGTAATTTTTAGCGAAAACGTACTACTCCTAATGACGCTAATTAAAATAACAACGTGCTGGAAAAACAGACAAGCATTAGGACGTTTGCTTGTCGAAATACAGAATAATTTCATCGTCGACAAATACAATACATTCGAGAAGAGATTCATTTTTATCAAATATACCAAAATGGCGAAATATTATGTTTTAATAGCAGTTACCACGATGACAATTAGCACTAGTTTTTATTACATCAACGCATTGTTGCCAAATGTAAAAATGGGTAAACGTTCTATCAAATTTATAAAAGAGATAATTTTATTAATTACTATATTATCCATTTTTCTGCGTATACTGAGTTATCACAACATTATCAACGCTGTTGAATATCTCTTTTGTTTGGAACAAACGAAAAGAATAAGAAAATTTTTTTATATATATATTATGCAAAGTTTCATGTTTACATGTGAAAAATATATTTTGATAATCTGATAAATTATGTCGGACTTCTGCTTCAAACTGAAAGTTTAGTGATCCACTAGGATCTTTTTTGGAATATCATATTCTTTTGACTACTTTTTCAAATAATGATTACGATTGTTTAATCAATTTTTCAATCAAATAAATTGACTCCTATGAAATATAAACAACCTAAATGTTTAATGAAAAAATGTTCAAAGAAAAATGTATGAAATCCTGCTACAATGATTATGCTTATTAACTTACTATATCTTTAAGTTATAAAATGTAAATGTTTCAAATTAATTTACAATAACAATTATAATAATAGCTTAATTAATTCGATAGATATTCGAAGTGTCCAATATAAACTTTTATTCAAAATCGATATATTCTAATCGCAATTATCGTTCTTAATTCATCTAAGTGTCATTTTTTAAATTTACTTTCTGAAGTTTATGTATATATACATTATTATATAAATCATACATTTATAATAGAAATACATCTCATTTTATTTCGATTTCCATATATATTTTTATTATATATTATATTTTATTCGTTACAGTAATAAGCAATTCGTCATCGAGTTACGAACTACCGTTGAAAACACGAACCATGGTCGATATACGCGACATTAGGGTCTATATTTTTCTCTGTATTTATCAGATGTTGGTAGTACCAAGTATTGTACTAGGTTTCGTCGGATTTGATTGTTTGTTCGCCAATCTTGCATTTCATATTACCGCACAATTTGGAATTCTCAGTTCTATGCTCAAAGAAATTCTCGACGACTCTAACACTTTTCAATATAATATAAGGGAACTTTTACTTCGACATTACGAATTGATAAGGTAAATATTAATTGATAATGTAATTTTCTTTAATATAATGAAATTTTTTTTTTTCATTCTCAATGGAATGCAATAATTGTTCTCTAGATTATTTTATAACAGAAAGATCGATAGAATGGAATTTACAAAATTTTTTTTCGTTAAACTCTAGCCATTTAAGATTAAACACTATTTTCGAACGTTCGAATTATACGATTTCGTTGATGAAATGTTATGTCAATTGTGGTAACTTTATTTGGAATAAATTTTCAAGTCATTTACCAAGAGACCATCTTAGTTATTTTCTTTTTTTTTCTTTTAAACAGAAATTTGCAATCTTTTTTTTTAAAGCGATCATTTGTTCCAAATGAAATGAAAGCAAATAACTTCTTTCTGAAATTTTTTTTTGAGATCAAAATGAATGAGATTTAAAATGTATTAAAGAAAGAAAAAAAAATTATGGATTTGATTATCCAACGAATAAAATATTGATATAAATAATTAATGTTACATATTATTTTTAAGAAATATATTTGATTTTTTTTCTATAGTTTTAACGTGACCATTCATTCTGTACGAAGAAAAAAAAATATCTGAAAAAAATTAAGGTCTCCGTGACAAAAATTTTCTATATTTGATATATCATATTAAATTCATTATCATATTAAATAAATGTCTTATATATATATATGTATTTATGTATATGTTATTTGACATTTTTTTAGACAAGCGAAAACTTTGGAAGATAATTTTAATGTAATAATATTGCAACAATTAATGGGAACAACGTTTCAACTTTGTACATCCGCTTACAATACAATCTTGGTACGTATTACATATAATATGTTAATGCATTTAATGTAACGAACATCTTTCATTTATCAATTTAATTTTTTTCTAATCTTTACAATTTTATTTTAGGACTCTGTAAGCAAAGAAACATTAACGTTAATCATATTCTGCTTTTATGCTTTGAGCACATTGAGTACATTGTTTCTTTATTGTTACATCGGCGAGTGTCTTATTCAAGAAGTAAATGATATTAATTAACTACATTCAGGGTGTCTTATATTATTTGATTGTTAGTAAAATATTTCGATTGTTATTAAAAATATTATATAGTGTGATAAATGTTCATTCGTAATTCTATTCTTATAATTAAATTATTTTTATTTGATTTCACAAAAGAATCGAAAGATACAAAACGTTCATTAATAAATCTATAATTTTTATTTCGAAACTAAATAAAGTTTAATTAATAAATGAGTATTACAATTGTTATATTTAAGATCGTTTAATATTTAAATTCGTAATGATAATTAATATTAATTAGTTTGATACATTAAGTAATATTATTTATTATATATTTCTAATGCAAGGTTTATTATATTTTTAAATAAATTTATTAATCATTTCTGAAAGATTAAGTATCACGTAAATTAAATTACGTGATTAAAATTATTTATTAATATATATTAAATTGATATTTTTATATACAGATATGAGTGATTAAATAAAGTTAAATAAAGTTAAAGTTTGACTGATTTTAACGAAATCACATTACTCTGTCAAAACGTAGAAAATTTTACCGGAAAAATCTGTTTATAGATCCAGTGATGTCGGATATGTATTGATATATGCTTTAGAATTTGTACAACCATTATGTAATTGATTCAGTAATTTATAATTTTTTATTTTAACATCAATTTATTTGACGAAAATTTATTTACTATAAATGAAACAAATAGATTAATTTTTATAAACAATAATTTCTTTTCTTTTCTTTTTGAAATTTTTCAAATGTTATTTCAGAATATACGACAACAAAAATATTTTTTTACGGATACATCAGATACTTGAGTCGAACTAAACATGATTTGTATTTATTAAATCATATTTACGACTTATGGGGGTACTTTATAATAGTTGAAAAAAAAAAGAACAAATTTATTGCGATCAGATTCGATAGGACACTCTGTAATATACTCAATTCTTCGATATCTATTAACTATTGAAATTATTTAAAAAAATTTAGAGTTTGAGCCTGAGCAACGCAATTTATCGTTACGAGTGGTATAACAAGTCACCAATGAACTTAAAGATGGTAATAATTTGTATGTTGCGAATGAAAAGACCAGAACAATTAACTTCCGGTAAATTTTTCGTCCTATCATTGGCCTCTTTTACTGATGTAAGTATCTAAAAAAAAAAAATTTTTCCTACCTATACTTAAGTTATCGTTAAAATATGTTTCACGTTAAAATGTCTTATAGATTCTCAAAACTACGATGGGATATCTGTCACTACTGCGAACACTTCTATGAAGATTTTTTTGCATTCTTTTTAGGTCCACTTATTAAAGAGAACACTTTTAATTTTCATAATAATTAATCATCGTTCTGAGTCAATTGGTATAGATTTAAAAAAAAAAATAAAAAATAAAAAAAAAACCAAGAAATCGAAAGACAAATATACGATCCATATTTTCTTCATACTTTCTTTTTTTGCTTTAATCCAACATCATTTTTCTCCGCGGCGAATATTAATATAAATTATTTAATATTTATTTAATAATAGAAAAAATTTTTGGACTTCACGTTGGTCATGAAATCACAACCGAATTTCTTTTCGTATATGTCGTATTAAAAATAATATATGTATATATAAATATATATAGATTATAAAAATATATGTACATATTTTTATTATATTATAAAATCTTAATATAATAAAATCTTAATCTAAGAAAATAATAATATAAATTATTCTACTCACTGGATATTCAATAAATAAGGTGTATATACGGTTGAATATATCAACGAATAGTATTGTTAGTCATTGTTAGTCCTATTGATTTTTCTATTTCAATTCGAAAATAAGAACGTGTTCCTTTCATTGTAACGTATTTCATATAATTGATTATAATCTTGACGTATTATGGTGAGTAAAATGCACGTAATTATCGTAGGACATAGTTCACCATGAAGTTATGACAATTGAGAGATATATAGAAAAAGATAGGGTATAGACGTTGGAAATGTATGGATATTTTCAAACTTTTTTACATCGATAGTTTTCTTATCAATTAATTCGAATGAATGCCTTTCAATCGTACGCACTTTACAACGTACAATTAACGTTTGCCTAATAATCACAATGTAGCAACGATAAGTAGATCGTTATAGTGTCTGTTATTTCATTCGATACTATCCTTATGACGAACATCATAGAAATAAAAACTTTGAATATAACCAGGAAACCGGATATAAGTTATTTGAAAAAAGGGGTAAACTCGGTGGAGGGTCTTTATCGTTGTCACCCTAACACCCCAATGGAAAAGTTACTTTACGTGAAACTTTCTTTCGCCAGGACGATAACAACAACTCCCCCCCTTTTACGAGCGAATGAACCGGCATAGGAAAAAGAAAAGAATGAAGAAAAAAAAAAAAAGAAAAGGAAAGGAAGAGAGAATGTACGAATGAGAATTGTAGCAATAGTTTTCTTTTTTTTTTCTCTCTTTCTTTTTTTTTATTGAGGTAGTCACTAAATGTTTTCCAATGTGCATCGGCTAAAGTTCAATTAATATTTTATCTTCAGATAGTCAAGCCCTATTTCAACGGAGATGCAGTCAATCGATCAATTTTCTAATACGTTTTTTTACCCCCGTCTAATGTCACGGATAAACTTTCTTCAATTTTTTCTCTCTCCTTTCTGATTATATTATTCAAACGTGCATTTGCAACTCTTTCTTCTTTTTTTTTTTTTTTTTTCTAAGTGGAGTTTACAATGGGGGTTGATCGATCGTTTTCCTGTCAGTCAGTTGTAAACCTTCAAAGGGATAACATGGGCAGGAAGATAGATGTAAGACGTATAATAGTTTCTCTCGTAACATTCTTACATCTGTGCTGTGTATAATTTTGATATTGCACGTACATATCGTTTTTATACAATCTATGTATTTTTTTTGCACTCAATTTTGTTTTTTTTTTTCTTTCAGTCAGTGTAATATTTTTATTTCATGATTTTTATTGCTAATATGGTGACATTGGGAAGAAGTTACTTCTGGGAAGAATTTTCGTTTGTGCGTTCTTCTGGCTTCATTATATAATGTTTAATAAAATTTTATCGTATTGATTTGGCACAGTTATTGTATCACCTTTTTTTTTTTAGATCGTCATATTTATTGAATTTTTTTTCTAATCAATATGTTTCTTCACGACAATCTTTTTCTTTTTTGCTATTTTCCAAAGCTTAGTTGAAATTTATTTTCAAATTAGAGTACTCGATTATTTGGATACTTAATTATTTTTCTCTTAATTGCAAATAAATTATTATTTTTTATTATTAAAATATGAAAGAAGAAGGGACAGAATAATTGTTAATGTTCTACAATGACTTTTACTTTTGATTTGTTTTTCTTATTGCTTTTGTGTTACAATATTTTTTACAAAATAAATTTTATAATTTTTCTGGTACATTAAATTATAATGATCATATATTACGTTCGTTTTTTTTTTTAGTAATATATGTTTTTTTTTCAAAATATTTTTGTTTTTATTAATTATTTCATATAACACGACGAAATAAATTTTGTAGCACAAAAGAAAATGTTGAGATGTTAACAATTAAAATGTATTAGTGAATATTATATGGACCTGATTACAATACTAAATGATCATACTGATTTTACAAAATAAAAAATACTTTTTGTTTGTAACCCATAGAAAATGTATCGTTACCCACTAATGTGCTAAATAATATTTTTTTTCATATTATATAAAAAAAAGGCATGCATCGCAAAGTTGATAAAAATTGCATATGTGCATATGTATCTTATATCAATTATATATTGTATGTTTATTCATTAAATAGAAAAAGAAAATAATATCATCACTTAATATAAATTTACAATTAAATATTATAAATATTAATAAATTTATTTTTTTTATTTAATTATTATTATGAGCTGCTGATTATTTCATATTAACGAAATCATTAAAATAACATTATGTAATTTTTTTTTTTTAGACTATAGTTACTAAATAATGTTCTTTATTTCATTTCTAATAATTTATTCTATCCTTTTCAAGTATTAACTAATTTTTATACATACATATATAAATATATTTATTATTATTCTTACAGACAATCGACGTAACCGAGGCAAAGAAGTCATTATTATGGAACAGATTATTACTGAAATACATTGGAATTTGGCCACTCGAAATTTCTAATGCCCTTTTCCTCTTTTTTTTTATTTATCTTTTTTTACATTGTTCATTAACATTTGCCGAACTGATACATTGTAAACAGGACTTTGATGTTTACATGGTAATTTTTAGCGAAAACGTACTACTCCTAATGACGCTAATTAAAATAACAACGTGCTGGAAAAACAGACAAGCATTAGGACGTTTGCTTGTCGAAATACAGAATAATTTCCTCGTCGACAAATACAATACGTTCGAGAAAAGATTCATTTTTATCAAATATACCAAAATGGCAAAATATTATGTTTTAGTAGCAGTTACTACGATGACATTTAGCACTGTTTTTTATTACATCAACGCATTGTTGCCAAATGTAAAAATGGGTAAACGTTCTGTCAAATTTATACAAGAGATAATTTTATTAATTACTATATTATCCATTTTTCTGCGTATACAGAGTTATCACAAAATAATCAACGTTGTTGAACATCTCTTTTATTTTGGAACAACTGAAATGAATAAACACAATTATTTATATATATATGTATTCAACAAAGTTTCATGTTTATACGTGAAAAATATATTTTAATAATCTGATAAATTTTGTCGGACTTATGGTTCAAACTGGAAGATTAATGATGAACTAGTATCTTTTTTGGAATATTAAATTTATTTTTTACTACTTTCGAAAAAATTATTACGATTGTTTAATCAATTTTTCAATCAAATAAATTGGCACCTATCAAATATAAACAACTTAAATGTTCAATGAAAAAATGTTCAAAGAAAAATGTATGAAATCCTGTTACAATGATTATGCTTATTAACTTACTATATCTTTAAGTTGAAAAAAGAAAATCTTTCAAATTAATTTACAATAACAATAATAGTAATAGCTTAATTTATTCCATAATTATTCGAAGTATTCAATATATACTTTTATTCGGAATCGACATATTCTAATCGCAATTATCATTCTTAATTCATCTAAGTGTCATTTTTTAAATTTACTATCGGAAGTTTATGTATATATATATATATATTATTATATAAATCATACATTTATAATAGAAATATATCATATTTTATTTCAATTTCCATATATATTTTTATTATATATTATATTTTATTCGTTACAGTAATAAGCAATTCATCATTGAGTTACAAACTACCGTACAAAACACGAACCATTGTCGATATACGCGACATTAGGGTCTATATTTTTCTCTGTATTTATCAGATGTTGGTAGTACCAAGTATTGTACTAGGTTTCGTCGGATTTGATTGTTTGTTCGCCAATCTTGCATTTCATATTTCTGCACAATTTGGAATTCTCAGTTCTATGCTGAAAGAAATTCTCGACGACTCTAATTCTTTTCAATATAATATAAAGGAACTTTTACTTCGACATTACGTATTGATAAGGTAAATATTAATTGATAATGTAATTTTCTTTAATATAATGAAAATTTTTTTTTTCATTTACAATAAAATGCAGTAATTTTTATCTAGATTATTTTATAACGGAATGATTGATGGTATGGAATTTACAAAATTTTTTTTTCGTTAATCTCAAAGCCATTTACGATTAAAAACTATTTTCGAACGTTCGTATTATTCGATTTCGTTGATGAAATGTCATATCGATTGTGGTAACTTTATTTGGAATAAATTTGCAATGTCATTATTCAAAAAATCGACTTAGCTATTTTTTTTTGTTCTTTTATACAAAAATATGCTGTCTTTTTTTTTTATAACGATATGTTCCACATGAAATGGAAACAAGTAACTTCATTCTGAAATTTTCTTTTCGAGATCCAAATGAATGATAATTAAAATGTATTAAAGAAAGAAAAAAAAAAAAGGTAAATTATGGATTTGATTTCCAATGAATAAAATACTGATATTAATAATTAATGTTACACATTATTTTTTAGAAATGTATTTGTTTTTTCTTTCGTATAGTTTTAACGTGACCGTTCATTACGTACGAAGAAAAAAAAATATATAAAGAAAGATTAAGATCTCTGTAACAAATATTTTTTATATTTGATATATCGTATTACATTTATTATCATATTAAATAAACGTCTTATATATATATATATATATATATATATATATATATATATATATATGTTATTTGGCATTTTCTTAGACAAGCGAAAACTTTGGAAGATAATTTTAATGTAATAATATTGCAACAATTAATAAGCACGACGTTTCAACTTTGTTCATCTGCTTACAATACAATTTTGGTACGTATTACATATAATATGTTAATGCATTTAATGTAACGAACATCTTTCATTTATCTATTTAATTTTTTTTCTAATCTTTACAATTTTATTTTAGGACTCAGTAAGCAAAGAAACATTAACGTTAATCATATTCTGCTTTTATGCTTTGAGCACATTGAGTACATTGTTTCTTTATTGTTACATCGGCGAGTGTCTTATTCAAGAAGTAATTGATATTAATTAACTATATCCAGAGTGTCTTATATTATTTGATTGTCAGTAAAATATTTCGATTGTTATTAAAAATATTATATTGCGTGATAATTGTTCATTTGTAATTCTATTATTATAATTAAATTATTTTTATTCGATTTCACAAAAGAATCGAAAGAAACAAAATGTTTATGAATAAATCTATAATTTTAATTTCGAAACTGAATAAAGTTTAATTAATAAATGAGTATTAAAATAGTTATATTTGAGATCGTTCAATATTTAATTTCGTAATAATAATTAATATTAATTAGTTTGATGCATTAAGTAATATTATTCATTATATATTTCTAATGCAAGGTATGTTATATTTTTAAATAAATTTATTAATCATTTCTGAAAGATTAAGTATTACGTAAATTAAATTAAGTGATTAAAATGATTTATTAATATATATTAATTGATATATTTATATACAGATATGAGTAATTAAATAAAGTTAAATAAAGTTAAAGTATGACTGATTTTAACTAAATCTAATTACTCTGCCAAAACGTAGAAAATTTTACATGAAAAATCTGTTTATAGATTCAGTGATTTCGGATATGTATTGTTATATGCTTTAGAATTTGTACAACCATTATGTAATTGATTCAGTAATTTATAATTTTTTATTTTAACATCAATTTATTTGACGAAAATTTATTTACTATAAATGAAACAAATAGATTAATTTTTATAAACAATAATTTCTTTTTGAAATTTTTCAAATGTTGTTTCAGAATATACGACAACAAAAATATTTTTTTACGGATACATCAGATACTTGAGTCGAACTAAACATGATTTGTATTTATTAAATCATATTTACGACATACGAGAGTACCCTATAATATTTGAAAAAAAAAAAAAAAACAAATTTATTGCGATCAGATTCGATAGGACACTCTGTAATATACTCAATCCTTCGATATCTATTAACCATTGAAATTATTTAAAAAAATTTAGAGTTTGAGCCTGAGCAACGCAATTTATCGTTACGAGTGGTATAACAAGTCACCAATGAACTTAAAAATGGTAATAATTTGTATGTTGCAAATGAAGAAACCACAGCAATTAACTTCCGGTAAATTTTTCGTTCTATCATTGGCCTCTTTTACCGACGTAAGTATTTAAGAAAAAACAAATATTTTTCTATCTATACTTAAGTTAACGTTAAATTATATTATTTGTTAAAATGTTTTATAGATTCTCAAAACTACGATGGGATATCTGTCACTACTGCGAACACTTCTATGAAGATTTTTTTGTATTCTATTTAGATCCACTTATTAAAGAGAACACTATTAATTTTCATAATAATTAATCATCGTTCTAAGTCAGTTGGTATAGATTTTAATAAAAAAAAAAAAAAAAATAAAAAAAAATAAAAAAAAAAACCAAGAAATCGAAAGACAAATATCCAATCCGATATTTTCTTCATACTTTCTTTTTTTGCGTTAATACAACATCATTTTTTTCCGTGGCGAATATTAATATAAATTAACGTGCATTATTTAATAATAGAAAAAATTTTTGGACTTTACGTTGGTCATGAAATCACAACCGAAAATCTTCTCGTATATGTCGTACTAAATATAATATATGTAAATATATATATAATAAAAGTATATGTTCATATTTTTATTATATTTAAAATCTTAATATAATAAAATCTTAATCTAAGAAAAAATAATATAAATTATTCTACTCACTCGATATACACTAATTAAGGTATATATGCGGTTGAATATATCGTCGAATAGTATTGTTAGTCCTCCTATTGATTTTTCTGTTTCAATTCGAATATAAGAACGTGTTCCTTTCATTGTTCGATAATTAATTACAATCTTGACGTATTATGGTGAGTAAAATGCACGTAATTATCGTAGGACAAAGTTCACCATGAAGTTATGACAATTGAAAGATATATAGAAGTAGATAGGGTATAGACGTTGGAAATGTAAGGATATTTTCAAACTTTCTCCCATCGAAATTTTTCTTATCAATTAATTCGAATGAATTCCTTTCAATCGTACGCACTTTACAACGTACAATTAACATTTGCCTAATAATCACAATGAAGCAACGTTAAGTAGATCGTTATAGTTATTTCATTCGATACTATCCTTATGACGAACATCATAGAAATAAAAACTTTGAATATAACCAGGAAACCGGATATAACTTATTTGAAAAAAGGGGTAAACTCGATGGAAGGTCTTTATCGTTGTCACCCTAACACCGCAATGGAAAAGTTACTTTACGTGAAACTTTCTTTCGCCAGGACGATATCAACAACCCTCCCTTTTACGAGCGAATGAACCGGCGTAGGAAAAAGAAAAGAAAGAAGGAAAAAAAAAGAAAAAGAAAAGAAGAGAAACTGTACGAATGAGGGTTGTAGCAATAGTTTTCTTTTTTTCTTCTCTTTTTTTTTTTTATCGAGGTAGTCACTAAATGTTTTCCAATGTGCATCGGCTAAAGTTGAATAAATATTTTATCTTCAGACAGTCAAGCCCTATTTCAACGAAGATACAGTTAATCGATCAATTTTCTAAAAAGTTTTTTTACCCTCGTCTAATGTCACGGACAAACTTTTTACAATTTTTCCTCTCTCCTTTCTGATTATATTATTCAAACCTGCATTTGCAACTCTTTCTTCATTTTTTTTTTCTTTTTTTTCAAAGAGGAGTTTACAACGGGGGTTGATCGATCGTTTTCCTGTCAGTCAGTTGTGAACCTTCAAAGGGATAACATGGGCACGAAGATAGAAGTAAGACCGATAATAGTTTCTTTTGTAACATTCTTACATCTGTGCTGTGTAAAATTTTGATATTGCACGTACATATCGTTTATATACAATTTATGTATTTTTTTTGCACTCAATTTTGTTTTTTCTTTTTCTTTCAGTCAGTGTAATATTTTTATTTCATGATTTTTATCGCTAATATGGTGACATTGGGAAGAAGTTACTTCTGGGAAGAATTTTCGTTTGTGCGTTCTTCTGGCTTCATTATATAATGTTTAATAAAATTTTATCGTATTGATTTGTCATAGTTATTGTATCACCTTTTTTTTTTTAGATCGTCATATTCATCGAATTTTTTTTCTAATCAATATGTTTCTTCACGACAATCTTTTTTTTTTTGCTTTTTTCCAAAGCTTAGTTGAAATTTATTTTCAAATTAGAGTACTCGATTATTTGGATACTTAATTATTTTTCTCTTAATTGCAAATAAATTATTATTTTTTATTATTAAAATATGAAAGAAGAAGGGACAGAATAATTGTTAATGTTCTGCAATAAATTTTACTTTTGATTTGTTTTTCTTATTGCTTTTGTGTTACAATATTTTTTACAAAATAAATTTGTAATTTTTCTGGTACATTAAATTATAATGATCATATATATATTACTTTCGTTTCTTTTTTTTGGTAATATTTGTTTTTTTTCAAAATTTTTTAATTAATTATTTCATGTAACACGATGAAATAAAATTTGTAGCAGGAAAGAAAATGTTGAGATTTTAACAATTAAAATGTATTAGTGAATATTATTTGGACGTGATTACAATACTAAATAATCATACTGATTATAAAAAAAAAGAAACTTTTTGATTGTAATCTATAGAAAAGTATCGTTTAACACTAATGTGCAAAATTATTTTTTCTTTTTCAAATTATATAAAAAAGGAATGAATCGTGAAGTCGATAAAACTTGCATAAGTGTATATGTATCTTATATTAATTATATAATGTATATTTAATCATGTAGAAGAAAGAGAAAATAATATCATCACTTAATATAAATTTACAATTAAATATTAGAAATATTAATAAATTTATTTTTTTTATTTAATTATTATTATGAGCTGCTGATTATTTCATATTAACGAAATCATTAAAATAACATTATGTAATTTTTTTTTTTTAGACTATAGTTACTAAATAATGTTCTTTATTTCATTTCTAATAATTTATTCTATCCTTTTCGAATATTAACTAATTTTTATATATACATATATAAATATATTTATTATTATTCTTACAGGCAATCGACTTAACCGAGGCAAAGAAGTCATTAATATGGAACAGATTATTACTGAAATACGTTGGAATTTGGCCCCTCGAAGTTTCTAATGCTCTTTTTCTCTTTTTTTTCATTTATCTTTTTTTACATTGTTCATTGATATTTGCCGAACTGACACGTTGTAAACATGACTTTGATGTTTACATGGTAATATTTAGCGAATACATACTACACCTAATGACGCTAATTAAAATAACAACGTGCTGGAAAAACAGACAAGCGTTAGGACGTTTGCTTATCGAAATACAAAATAATTTCATCGTCGACAAATACAATACGTTCGAGAAAAGATTTATTTTTATGAAATATACCAAAATGGCGAAATATTATGTTTTAGTAGCGGTTACCACGATGACATTTAGCATTGCTTTTTATTACTTCAACGCATTGTTGCTAAATATAAAAATGGGTAAACGTTCTATCTAATTTATACAAGAGATAATTTTATTAATTAATATTTTATCCATTTTTTTACGTATATAGAGTTATCACAAGATTATCATCGTTGTTAAATATCTCTTTTGTTTGGAAAAAACGAAAAGAATAAGAACATTTATTTATATATATATTATGCAAAGTTTCATGTTTACGTGTGAAAAATATATTTTAATAATCTGATAAATTATGTCGGACTTATGCTTCAAACTGGAAGTTTAATAATCCACTAGTATCTTTTTTGGAATGTCGTATTTTTTTTACTACTTTTTGAAATAATAATTACGATTGTTTAATTAACTTTACAATCAAATAAATTGACTCCTATCAAATATAAACAACCTAAATGTACAATGAAAAAATGTTCAAAGAAAAATATATGAAATCTAGCTACAATAAGTATAGTAACTTAGTAAAGATTACTAACTTACTATATCTTTAAGTTATAAAAAGAAAATCTTTCAAATTAATTTACAATAACAATAATAATAATAGCTTAATTAATTCGATAAATATTCGAAGTGTCCAATATATTCTTTTATTCAAAATCGACATATTCTAATCGCAATTATCGTTCTTAATTCATCTAAGTATCATTTTTTAAACTCACCATCTGAAATTTATAAATATATATATATATATATATTATTATATAAATCATACATGTATAATAGAAATATATCGTATTTTATTATAATTTCCATATATATTTTTATTATATATTATATTTTATTCATTACAGTAAGAAACAATTCGTCACTGAGTTACAATCTGCCATACAAAACACGAGCCATCGTCGATATACGCGACATTAGGGTCTATATTTTCCTCTGTATTTATCAGATGTTGGTAGTACCAAGTATTATACTAGGTTTCGTCGGATTTGATTGTTTGTTTGCCAATCTTGCATTTCATATTACTGCACAATTTGGAATTCTCAGTTCTATGCTCAAAGAAATTCTCGACGACTCTAACACTTTTCAATATAATATAAAGGAACTTTTACTTCGACATTACGTATTGATAAGGTAAATATTAATTGATAATGTAATTTTCTTTAATATAATGAATTTTTTTTTTTCATTTTCAATAAAATGCAATAATTGTTATCTAGATTATTTTATAACGGAATGATTGATGGTATGGAATTTACAAAATTTTTTTTTCATTAATCACAAAGCCATTTACGATTAAAAACTATTTTCGAACGTTCCTATTATTCGATTTCGTTGATGAAATGTCATGTCGATTGTGGTAACTTTATTTGGAATAAATTTGCAATGTCATTATTCAAAAAATCGACTTAGCTATTTTTTTTTGTTCTTTTATACAGAAATTTGCTGTCTTTTTTTTTTATAACGATATGTTCCACATGAAATGGAAACAAGTAACTTCATTCTGAAATTTTCTTTTCGAGATCCAAATGAATGATAATTAAAATGTATTAAAGAAAGAAAAAAAAAAGGTAAATTATGGATTTGATTTCCAATGAATAAAGTACTGATATAAATAATTAATGTTACATATTATTTTTTAGAAATGTATTTGTTTTTTCTTTCGTATAGTTTTAACGTGACCGTTCATTACGTACGAAGAAAAAAAAATATATAAAGAAAGATTAAGATCTTTGTAACAAATATTTTTTATATTTGATATATCATATTAAATTCATTATCATATTAAATAAATGTCTTATATATATATATATATATGTATTTATGTATATGTTATTTGACATTTTTTTAGACAAGCGAAAACTTTGGAAGATAATTTTAATATAATAATATTGCAACAATTAATGGGCACAACGTTTCAACTTTGTTCATCTGCTTACAATACAATTTTGGTACGTATTACATATAATATGTTAATGCATTTAATGTAACGAACATCTTTCATTTATCTATTTAATTTTATTTCTAATCTTTACAATTTTATTTTAGGACTCTGTAAGCAAAGAAACATTAACGTTAATCATATTCTGCTTTTATGCTTTGAGCACATTGAGTACATTGTTTCTTTATTGTTACATCGGCGAGTGTCTTATTCAAGAAGTAATTGATATTATTTAATTACATGCAGGGTGTCTTATATTATTTGATTGTCAATAAAATATTTCGATTGTTATTAAAAATATTATATTGCGTGATAATTGTTCATTCGTAATTCTATTATTATAATTAAATTATTTTTATTTGATTTCGCAAAAGAATCGAAAGAAAGAAGTTTATTAATAAATCTATAATTTTTATTTCAGAACTGAATAAAGTTTAATTAATAAATGAGTATTACAATTGTTATATTTAAGATCGTTAAATATTTAATTTCGTAATGATAATTAATATTAATTAGTTTGCTACAATAAGTAATATTATTTATTATATATTTATAATGCAAGCTTTGTTATATTTTTAAATAAATTTATTAATCATTTCTGAAAGATTAAGTATTACGTAAATTAAATTAAGTGATTAAAATGATTTATTAATATATATTAATTGTTATATTTATATAGAGGATGCCTGATTATAACAAAATCACATTTCTCTTCCAAAACGTAGAAAATTTTATTTGAAACATTTCTTTTATAGATCCAGTGATATTGGATATGTATTGTTATATCCTTTAGAATTTGTACACTCAATATGTAATTGATTCAGTTATTTGTAGTTTTTTATTTTAACATCAATCTATTTGACGAAAATTTATTTACTATAAATGAAACAAATAGATTAATTTTTATAAACAATAATTTCTTTTCTTTTCTTTTTGAAATTTTTCAAATGTTGTTACACAATATATGACAACAAAAATATTTTTTTTCGGATACATCAGATACTTGAGTCGAACTAAACATGATTTGTATTTATTAAATCATATTTACGACATACGAGAGTACCCTATAATATTTGAAAAAAAAAAGAACAAATTTATTGCGATCAAATTAAATAAGACACTCTGTAATATACTCAATCCTTCGATATTTATTAACCATTGAAATTATTTTTAAAAATTTAGAGTTTGAACCTGAGCAACGCAATTTATCGTTACGAGTGGTATAACATGTCACCAATGAATTTAAAAATGGTAATAATTTGTATGTTGCGAATGAAAAGACCAGAACAATTAACTTCCGGTAAATTTTTCGTCCTATCATTGACCTCTTTTACCGACGTAAGTATTTAAGAAAAAACAAATATTTTTCTATCTATACTTAAGTTAACGTTAAATTATATTATTTGTTAAAATGTTTTATAGATTCTCAAAACTACGATGGGATATCTGTCACTACTGCGAACACTTCTATGAAGATTTTTTTGTATTCTATTTAGATCCACTTATTAAAGAGAACACTTTTAACTTTCATAATAATATAATAATTAAACATCGTTCTAAGTCAGTTGGTACAATTTTTAATAAGAAAAAAAAAAAAAAAAGAAAACCAAAAAATAGAAAGACAAATATCCGTTCCATATTTTCTTCATACTTTCTTTTTTTGCGTTAATCTAACATCATTTTTTTCCGCGGCGAATATTAATATAAATTAACGTGCATTATTTAATAATAGAAAAAATTTTTGAACTTTACGTCAGTCATGAAATCTCAACCGAAAATCTTCTCGTATATGTCGTACTAAATATAATATATGTATATATAAATATATATAGATTATAAAAATACATGTTCATATTTTTATTATATTTAAAATCTTAATATAATAAAATCTTAATCTAAGAAAAAATAATATAAATTATTCTACTCACTCGATATACACTAATTAAGGTATATATGCGGTTGATTATATCGTCGAATAGTATTGTTAGGCCTCCTATTGATTTTTCTATTTCAATTCGAATATAAGAACGTGTTCCTTTCATTGTTCGATAATTGATTACAATCTTGACGTATTATGGTGAGTAAAATGCACGTAATTATCGTAGGACAAAGTTCACCATGAAGTTATGACAATTGAAAGATATATAGAAGTAGATAGGGTATAGACGTTGGAAATGTAAGGATATTTTCAAACTTTCTCCCATCGAAATTTTTCTTATCAATTAATTCGAATGAATTCCTTTCAATCGTACGCACTTTACAACGTACAATTAACATTTGCCTAATAATCACAATGAAGCAACGTTAAGTAGATCGTTATAGTTATTTCATTCGATACTATCCTTATGACGAACATCATAGAAATAAAAACTTTGAATATAACCAGGAAACCGGATATAACTTATTTGAAAAAAGGGGTAAAGTCGGTGGTAGGTCTTTATCGTTGTCACCCTAACACCCCAATGGAAAAGTTACTTTACGTGAAACTTTCTTTCGCCAGGACGATATCAACAACCCCCCCCTTTTACGAGCGAATGAACCGGCGTAGGAAAAAGAAAAGAAAGAAGGAAAAAAAAAAAGAAAAAGAAGAGAAGAGAAACTGTACGAATGAGAGTTGTAGCAATAGTTTTCTTTTTTTCTTCTCTGTTTTTTTTTTTTTTTATCGAGGTAGTGACTAAATGTTTTCCAACGTACATCGGCTAAAGTTCAATTAATATTTTATCTTTAGGTAGTCAAGCTCTGTTTCAACGGAGATACAGTTAATCGATCAATTTTCTAATACGTTTTTTTACCCCCGTCTAATGTCACGGATAAACTTTCTTCAATTTTTTCTCTCTCCTTTCTGATTATATAATTCAAACGTGCATTTGCAACTCTTTCATCTTTTTTTTCTCTTTTTTTTTTTCAAAGAGGAGTTTACAACGGAGGTTGATCGATCGTTTTCCTGTCAGTCAGTTGTGAACCTTCAAAGCAATAAGATGGAAACAAAAATAGAAGTAAGACGAATAATAATTTTTCCCCATTATACTATAACATTTTTTTTTAGTATGTTAATTTGAAATCGCACGTACATATTGTCTATGTATTATTTGTGTCTTTTTTTTTTTTGCATTTTATTTACTTCTTTTTCTTTTTTTATTTTTCATTTTATTAGTCAAATTATTATATGGATTTTTATTATTAATATAATGACGTTGAAAAGAAATTAATTTTATAATATTTTTTTTTTATCTCTTTTTTTAGACGATAATAAATTATATTCAATTAGAATTGATCTTGTTATTGATTTGAGTGTTATATTGTATTGCCTTTTTTTTTTTTTTTTTTTTTTTTTAGATTGCCATACGTATAGCATTTTCTTTCTTTTTTCCTGATTAATAAATTTGTTCACGACAATTTCTTTTTTCTTTTTCTTTTTTTTTTTCACATAGCAAAGTTGAACTTTATCTTCAAATTATTGATCTCGATTGTTTGATTTCTTATTTATTTGTATAATTGGTGCAAAATTTTTAAAAATTTTTTTATATTTTTTTTTATATTTTTTATATTTATAACTCTGAAGTGACAATTAGATATAATAATTAATTACATATTATATACAATTAATGTATGATACACAAATACAATTACAAGTGTTATTTCTTTATATTTTTTTTTTATGTTTTTTATATATTTTTTTCATATTATTAATATAAGGAAAAAAAGAAACGTAATAATTACAAAAGCAATAATTTTTTTCTTTGATTTTTTTCTCATTGCTTTTTCTTAATAATATACTTGATTTTTTATACATTAAATTGTAATGATTATATATTTGCTTTTTTTCTTTTTTATTAATATTTATTTTCTTTTTCTTCATTATTCTTTTTATTTAAATTATTTATTCTATATAACCCGAGGAAATGAAAATTGAAGGACAAGATTAATATACAATATACAATAAATATTTTTGATATAGATATTTTTTAGAGAGGAAAAGAATTAAAATATCTTAAATGAAAATTTAATATATTAATTATTATTAAAGTTATCGATTTTTTCAAATCAATGATATCATTCGTATCATTCTAAATAATTTTGTCTGTTAGAAAGCATCTTTATAAGATTTATATTTAAAAGAATTTTTAAAAATTTTCCTTTAAGAAGAAAAAGAAAAACATTACATTGTTCTTTTGAAAATTTACAAATATATATTATAAATATTAATAAAGCAATTTTTTCTTTTTTTATTTATTTATTACAATCACCTATCGATTTTATCGTATTAACGAAATCATTAAGATAACATTATATGATCTTTTTTTTTAGACTATAGTTACTAAATAATATTCTTTATTTCATTTCTAATAATTTATTATATCTTTTTCAAGTATTTACTAATTTATATATATATATATTTATTTATTTATTATTATTATTATTATTATTATTATTATTATTATTATCATTATCATTATTATTATTATTATTATCATTATCATTATTATTATTATTATTTTTGTTATTATTATTATTATTATTATTATTATTATTATTATTATTATTATTATTATTATTATTATTATTATTATTATTATTATTATTATTATTATTATTATTATTATTATTTTTGTTATTATTATTATTATTATTATTATTATTATTATTATTATTATTATTATTATTATTATTATTATTATTATTATTATTATTATTATTATTATTATTATTATTATTATTATTATTATTATTATTATTATTATTATTATTATTATTATTATTATTATTATTATTATTATTATTATTATTATTATTATTATTATTATTATTATTATTATTATTATTATTATTATTATTATTATTATTATTATTATTATTATTATTATTATTATTATTATTATTATTATTATTATTATTATTATTATTATTATTATTATTATTATTATTATTATTATTATTATTATTATTATTATTATTATTATTATTATTATTATTATTATTATTATTATTATTATTATTATTATTATTATTATTATTATTATTATTATTATTATTATTATTATTATTATTATTATTATTATTATTATTATTATTATTATTATTATTATTATTATTATTATTATTATTATTATTATTATTATTATTATTATTATTATTATTATTATTATTATTATTATTATTATTATTATTATTATTATTATTATTATTATTATTATTATTATTATTATTATTATTATTATTATTATTATTATTATTATTATTATTATTATTATTATTATTATTATTATTATTATTATTATTATTATTATTATTATTATTATTATTATTATTATTATTATTATTATTATTATTATTATTATTATTATTATTATTATTATTATTATTATTATTATTATTATTATTAATATTATAATTATTATTACTATTATTATTATTATTATTATTATTATTATTATTATTATTATTATTATTATTATTATTATTATTATTATTATTATTATTATTATTATTATTATTATTATTATTATTATTATTATTATTATTATTATTATTATTATTATTATTATTCTTATAATTCTTAATATTCTTATTATTCTTATTATTCTTTTTATTTTAATTGTTATTATTATTATTCTTAGTATTCTTATTATTCTTATTATTATTCTTATTATTATTCTTATTATTCTTATTATTCTTATTATTCTTATTACTCTTATTATTCTTATTATTCTAATTATTCTTATTATTCTAATTATTCTTATTATTATTCTTATAATTATTAATCTTATTTTTCTGATTATTCTTATTATTCTTATTATTCTTATTATTCTTATTATTCGTTATTAATCTTATTATTCGTATTATTCCTATTATTCTTATTATTCTTATTATTCATATTATTCTTATTGTTCTTATTATTCTTATTATTCTTATTAATCTTATTATTCGTATTATTCTTATTATTCTTATTATTCTTATTATTCGTATTATTCTTATTATTCTTATTATTCTTATTATTCTTATTATTCTTATTATTCTTATTGTTCTTATTATTCTTATTATTATTACTACTACTATTATTATTATTATTATTATTATTATTATCCTTATTATTCTTATTATTCTTTTATTCTCATTAATCTTATTATTCTTATTATTCTTATTATTCTTATTATTCTTATTATTCTTATTATTCTTATTATTCTTAATGTTCTTATTATTCTTATTATTCTTATTAATCTTATTATTCTTATTATTATTATTATTCTAATTATTCTTATTATTCTTATTATTCTTATTATTCTTATTATTCTTATTATTCTTATTACTCTTATTATTCTTATTATTCTAATTATTCTTATTATTCTAATTATTCTTATTATTATTCTTATTATTATTAATCTTATTTTTCTTATCATTCTTATTATTCTTATTATTCTTATTATTCTTATTATTCTTATTATTCTTATTAATCTCATTATTCGTATTATTCC